CAAAAGAAGACATCTCCAATTTTCAGGAAGACCCTTTTGTTAACTGATCGCTACTCATTTACCTACGATTTTGAGAATTTCTGTGTCCAGGAACTGTTGAACAACCAGGTCACCATAACTATCAAAATCCGTCTGAAGCAGCGACGGAAAGATCATGTTTGATTTGGGCGTTTTGAACGTCGGAAGCATATATTTCATGTAACATGAAACAGGAGCCAATTAAAATGTAATTGGCAACATTTCCTGGTCTCATTGTATGCGCAAACATTTTTTCATGTAACGTCTTCATTTGTTCAGGGGCCGAGGAGTTGCAACAGTGAAAAATTTGAAACTGGAAAAAATCTGTCCTGACGAATAAAGAGTTATTTTAGTAGACTATTCGAACAAATGGATTACATTTCTTTTGCAATAAGTCTAACGTGTTCCATATATTAAATTTTAGGTCGCTTGATTGCAGATAAGTCTACTTAAATCGTTTGCAAGAAAGGTATAGCGTTAACAGTTTAAAAAATTAGAAGTAGTAAACTCTTGACTTTATCCCGCAAGATGGTTTTACAATCAGATGTCCCAACTTGTATGTAGTTACTATTAAGACGTATTTTGTCGTCTGTCACGATCGACCTTCTACAACTTTTTCCAGAAATCTCGTTGAAAGCTTTATGTCGAATGAAAGACGGACCAATCCTTAATTCAAAATCCAAAATTTTAATATGTGATGACCATGAAAATTGTGAGCTACTAAAAATGAAAGTAGACTACTACCTGTTATACTCATTGAGGCTAGAGTTTGGTAGTTCACAAAACGACTATTTTTAGAATTATCCTTCCGTCTTTAAGTCTCATCATCTCACCAAATCTTAAAGATAATGCAATTTCAGACATCAAATTCCAAATCTAGATCAAAAATTACTCAAAAATAGGCATGCAAAAACCCCAAAAGGGAGAGAGAAAGAAGATTTATAGAAATAGTCTAGACTACATTCGTATACAATCATTTACATAAAATGTTTAAGTGGAGTGAGTCCGTATTTTGATGAACTATCTTAGTTATTGCCCTTGAATAAGTAAAAAAAAGTAAAAATAGTTTGATTTTCATTTTTAATTAAACATTTTGGGGTTTTTCCGCCTGGCTTGCCAAAATACAATTTCATTTAAGTAAATCGTATCGACACAGATCGAAGTGTGCATTTATACACGCGAAACTCCTACAACGATTTACCCACAATACACGATTTGTCAAAGCGCGTAACCAAATAGGCCATTTGCCAAAGTGCGTACCCAAATCGACCAAATCATTGGCTAACAGCGCTTTGTTACAATTTGTTTGAGATTCAAAATAGTGGGCAACATTGATAATAAGTAAAAACATTTCGAGAACTCATTCTAAGATTACAGGAAGAAAGACAAAAATATTATTTTTATAAACTTTTGAAATTTTCTTACAACAAATAGAAGACCTGAAGAATAATATTATGACATTAAAAGTCAATACGTACACTTGTCATCCCAAAACATCAGAATTATTTCAAAGCATGTAAGAAACTTGATGAAAACAATGAAAAAATCGCAAAGGACACTTAATAAGTAATGGCGATACAGTGTATTATTAAAGTCAGGATCTACGAAATCCAAGCAGAATTCGTTAAGATGGTTTACTCTTGGCTCAAATTCAGTAGTATAATTTACTTTATCAACCCTTATGTTTTGTTTATATGTGTCATATAACATATTCGTGGTTTATTAATACTGTCCCGTAGAGGATAATTGTTGACACTTTATCATATACACCATATTACGATGTCGTTGAAATTGGGTGAAGCGAAAGGTAAGACCATTCATTTTGATAATTATTCATGATGCCTCCAGCCTGCAATTATACCAGCAACTTAGTGTATCTAAAAGAACATTTTAGTCAAGTTTTTGAAGATGAATTTAAATATTAAGATGGATCGACCTTTATGCGAACGATAATGAGGCTTGTGAGATGGTTTCAGCACAAACGTATGGAGAGTCTGAAATTTCGTCATGTTTGTGACTTTTTTTTGCAACTTTTCGAGTTTAAGAAAACCCTCTTCTCCATTGAATACAGTTTATAGGGAGGGAATTTTTATCCAGTTGACGCAATTTGTTTGTCTTTTACCACAAGGCGACCGTTCTTGTTAATTCTTCTTTCCAAAGAATTTATATTAAGCTGACTACACAACTTCAAGGAGCAAGTTTGTACATGTAGGCCTACTTGTTCGTTTTTGAACGTAGAGCAAAATACTCCTCGAGTGTTTACAATATGTAGGCATAAATTTGTCATTGTCAATTCATCGAATCAAAACCCAGAGGAGATTATTATGAACTGTTTTGGAGCATATATAAATGGAGTCTACATGTTATTATTTAGTGATATTTTTCAAACTACACCTGAAACCTATTCGTGTTTATCGTCGTTTAAACCACGCCTCTTATCCATAAATTATTGGGAATGTGGTTTACTTGAACAGCTTCGTATGAGGTGGTAAGTCATAACGACATTGCGGACCATGACCCTTTTAGGTTGACCATTGTTGACTTCTTTAATCAAAACTTGACCCACTTTGAATCCTTAAGTATTTACATAACAAATATTGTCATATTCCTGTATGCCTCCCCGTATCAAGACGTCCACATTTTCATTTTCAATTTATGGCATTCACCTCGCTTTGAAACCTTTTATTGGATCTGGTAGTTACCATTCTAATACGGCATTATTGTGTTGATGACCCCAGAGCTATAAAGGCCGCGTGAAACACTTAATAATCCAGACGAGCGTTTGTATGGGATACGCGCCTCTGCTCTACTAGCGTTATTTTCTGACTTACATAAGTATTTGATGCCATTTTGAAATTTGCTACCAGAGGACGACCTCTGGCATTTCAAGCTCACGTGGAATTCATCCTATGCAGCATCTTTCACGTAAGACCTTTATGCATCATGCTGTAAAATCCTGTAGTGGGTGTAGGCCTTTAGGTTTGATACAGTTCTGCTAACTGTGTGTCTATAATAGAGAAAATATAGTTGGTAGTGAGGGCGGTGTAAGTTTTTAGAAAGCCTTCTTCTTCCATATAGATATCATGGGCGCCGTTATATCGACATTATAACATTGATAATATATGCATGGAGGAATGTTTTTGTACTTGGAGCCCTTGTAGCTGTATCGCCAATCCCCAGAAGATTATACAAAGTACTCTTTAAACCGAATTGTATTCACTCACGTTGCGAACTTTATATGTATTTAAAAATCTGCATTATGTGATATACATTGTGCATTATGTACTACTGGTAGAAACGTTTACAATTTTGTAATCCAAAAAATCGTCTGCTTCTTTAACTGATTGACTATTTGAAATGATGGTAAATGCAAAACGACTGTGTTTGATACATATTTTATATAATTCATATAACTTATATAAGCATAAAATCTATCATAAAACTTTTCTACATTAAGGTTATTAATTGTTATTATAAGATAATATTCGTGTTGGTCCATACTATTAAGTAAAGAGAAGTCACTATAATATCATTGACCTTTTTCATCGTACCTGCTACCTGATAATGATATCTTAAATTATAAAATTCAAAACACAGTTCATGTTGAGAACACTCTCCTTAAATTTGGCTAGCGTAACGTAAGGTTGTGGTGTTTTCGACTGATCATCTGTTACAAACGCCTGTGAAAACTATTGATTATTTTATTGTACTAAACGGACAGGACTGATAATTCACAAGTAGCTTCTACTTCCACAATAAGTACATGTGCTAATAATTTCATGGTTGAACATAATTAAAGGGACAGGTTTACCATTTTCGGGGGTTGATCTGGGCCTTGATTATATGTACTTAGACTACAAATGTGCGAAATTGGCATAATTCTTAACCATTTTTACTTTTAAACGCAGATAATTCTGGATAGTTCTGAAAATTTTGACAATGAGCTGCGACCAATACTACTGATTAGCTTTGCTGAAAAAAATCCGTTTCTATGTCAAATGGATGGCGAAACTCTCCCTTTAAAAGCCGTCTATTAAAAGATTACAGTCGTCTATATACAAGTTTTTCCTATTGCTACATTTATGCGCAACTAGCCCCAGTGGCGGTTCTAGGTAACATCAGGTGAGGGGGCCTAGCAGGGACAGGAAAATTTTTCTTGGGAGCCACAGACCATTCTTTCACTATGTAAAATAATAAAAAAATCAAAGTTGGGAGGGGGGTGGGGGCAAAGCCTAGCCAGAATCTTTTCTGGTGGGACCTCCAACCCCTGGCCACGCGTAGTAACGCCACTGACCAATACATACTTGTCATCCCGAAACAAAATCCCGGATAAAGATAATATAATATACTAATTTCCTACAATATACTACTCAATTGATGTTCTCAGAGGTCAAATTTAGTGATAATTCCAATTGCAACCTAAATTTGTAGAGCTTCTGTTTGGGCTTTGACAGATCGTACGTTAGGTTTCCCTACTAAATGACTATGTACATAATATGTGACGGATCCCCTTACTGAACAATACACATAATACTTTTGTAAAATCTATTATAAGCATTCGAAACTATAGTCTTTGTCATAAAATCAATTCAATGCTTTTACCAAACATTTAATATCTAATTAACTTTTATAGGCATAGATGTCGTCAGAATCTATTGATCCAAACTTTCAATATTCTGCTCCAGTACACCAACTGCAATCGATATAATATGGGTCGGATAAGATATGTAACATAATATTTAATCAATAACGGTGGCCCCTATCGCGTTTACAAAGTCAAATACATAATAATATGTTGTGCACATAAAGCTTAAAGAGTAATATCACAGCCCACTTAAAACTTGTAAAAAGGCGTATAAATAAAATAACTAGAAGCCTTCAAACTGAAATAAGCAGTTTTTTGTGACTGTACATTCAGGACATAAATTGACACTGCAAAAATGATGAACAATTTATCAACATATTCATATCAAGCCTAGAATAGAACAATAAGATGGTAGACATCTTCGAGCACACAATATTGTCGATATGTAGATATTGATGTTTTACTTACTCTTGTTGTATTACAGGTAACAGTTACGATGGAATGGAGGTATTATCAAGAAAACCACCCCCTGATAAAGACAAAGATACACCGAGTACTATATTGGAAGTGGAGAAAATAGCCTTAAAGAGAAATCTGGGTCTTGTTGGTGCTGTTTCTATGATTGTTGGAACAATTATTGGCAAGTACACGTTCTCCAAGGACTAGGTTAACGTATGGGTTAAACTTTTATGAAAACAAATACTGAAATGGTTTCGACTTTTAAAAAGGTTCTCCGGATGACGCCTAACGTTAATAAATGTACTACCCTTTTATCAACGCCAAACCTTTTACTCTTTTAATTTAGCTTACATCGTGTTGTAGGGTCAGGTATATTTGTATCACCAAAAGGAGTTTTAAAGTCTACGGGTTCAGTTGGTCTCAGTTTAATAGTTTGGGTTGGAGCTGGTGTAATTGGAACCTTGGGTAGGTAATTTTCTTTTGCTTTTTGATTTCTCATGCTATAATGGATATCATGGATATAAGCGTTTTGGGGGCAAACATTTCACATGAGCCTACATGAACCCAAAGAGTTTGATTTTCTAAAAGTTTCATGCATTGTGTATTTGCCAGGAGAGCAGTAACCCTTTGTTGTCAACTACTAATTTTCAACTATTGGGAACACAATGTATTAACCTTGAACCTCCTAACTAAATTTAGATTTTGATCGCAATGTATATACAATAAAATCTTTACGACCTTTCCTTCCTAATATAATATTAGCTGTAACTTGTTCAAGGGCTATAAACCCGAGATTTTATTCTAAACTAAGAGTTTTGTTTTGTTCAATTCCATAGGTGGATTATCGTATGCCGAATTGGGGACACTATTGCCTAAATCTGGTGGTGAATATGTTTACTTGAAAGAAGGACTGGGGGACATACCCGCGTTTTTGTTTTCCTGGACATCTGTAATAGTAACAAGAACATCGTCTTTAGCGATAATAGCCTTGACGTTTGCAGCCTACACAGATTCATTCTTTGAATTGTGTGGAGGTCCTCAGATACCAGTAAAACTTATCGCCGTCATTGTTCTTAGTAAGTATTCAACATAATAATTAAATACATAATAAGCCCTTTTAAATGGTCCTGTCAACCATTCAGCTGCTTCTGCTGGACACAACCATAAAAAGCCATCTTAGCCAAAAAGCGTGGCAAGTGAATCAGATAAGTGTTTCTTGAAGCACCATGACGGCTCGTGAAACCAGTAATCATTTATTAGGGCGGCCAAGAGACCAACATGACAAATCTATTCTGACTTGGCTACCTATGGCGAATACTAAGGTCTAACATGGATACCAAAAGCCTATCTGCTCATCAAGGATATATTATTACCACCACCATGTGTTCCAAGAGTATCTTATGCCTATCAAGGGTGTACCTAGAGTATCATGATTTCTAAATGTTTATAAATTTACTTGCAGTTTTAGTTGGCATTGTTAATAGTTGGAGTACCAAACTAGCCTCGCAAGTTCAAATTTTTTTCACCTTTGCTAAAGTTATATCCCTTGTTATTATCATTATTGGTGGGTTTGTGAAACTCGGGGAAGGTGAGTCTATGTAAAATATTGGAACTCGAACTCGACTTCTCGAATCTAAACAAAAATCTATGTTGTACATGTGTATAATGCATCAGCCAGGACCAGTTTGGTTAAACCAGCATGATACCAATTGCAGAATGGCGACTGGTCGTCTGCCAGGAACTCCCACTGTGTTTGACCCCTATGCCGAAGTCAGCCAAAAACAAAAAAGCTGAATAAATATAGAAAGGTACCACCTAAAGTATATCAGGGTAATTCATACATCACACTAGGCGTAAAACGGTTCATGCTTTCTGCATTGGACAAAAACAGACATCCTAAAAAAACTACGCCCTAAGCTATCTGTTAGATTTAATGAGTAAATATACGATTTGTTATCCTTCATTTATGAACAGTTATATACTAATCCACAGTAAACAATCACTGGCGTATATTTGTCCCAATAGATTCGTTATAAACTCTTGAAATCGAAGCAATCCTCAAAATGTTTTTATTTAAAAGTCTTATGGTCAACATCACGAGATTATTGATGTGTATCCAAAAAAGCCATCTTTACTTGGCAGCGTAAAAGCTATTGATAAATATAGCCTATATAAATCCTTTGTCCCATTTAAAAATATTTTACACACTTGAATATTATAGTACAAGTTATTTCCCTTGAGTTGAACATTTATAAGGGGATTTTATTTTACAATCTTTGCTTGTCACCCTCGACTTTGATTAATGGTTTCAATTTATGCTTTGAATTAATAATTCTTTCCCTATATTTGCGACTCTATATTGTAGGCAAAACCTCTGTATTAGAAACAGGTTTCAAGGGAACAACCCAATCACCATTTATCGTTGCTCTGGCATTTTACAATGCTTTGTGGGCTTATGATGGCTGGTGAGTTGATCATCAGATAACATATTATTTATACTGCTAAGTGCTTTTATAGGTTAATATTGTATAAACATGCTCAGAACACATCCACCTTTTTAAAAGAATAACATTGTGTATCATAGGTCTGGATATATATGAGACAGCTGAATAAAGCTTTATCAAAAAGTCTAATAACGTATACTATTTTATAGGAACAATCTGAATATAGTTACAGAGGAGTTACAAAATCCTAACAGGTAAGTAAATACCCTGGTTGAGAAAGTTTTTCAACGTGGTCTCACTTTGCAATTGAAAGAAGGTTACAATGCAACACAATACGCATATTTAAATAGCGCCCCATCTAAAATAAAATACCTGTAATTTAAACAGAAAAAATATATATTTACAAAAGTGAGAAAATGTGCATTTTTGTGAATATCTATAACTAAAAGATAATAAATTCAAAAGGATCAAAAATAAAAATATAGTAGGACAGTCAAACGGACAAAAGGTCCATAAGCATTAATAAAACCAGTTGCACAGATTAAACACCAAACGATATGTCTTCTGTTGTTGTGCTTTACAGACATAAAGTGACATTGTAGATCTCATTGCAGAATCATTCCACAATGTGGCTGCAACCATGTCAAAGTGGTGGTCCCCATACGTCTTTGTTCTGGTATTGGGTACTATCAAACGTCGAGTACAGGGAGGGCGTATAAAGTAGAGCCTTGTAGGCATATAATAGGATTGTATACTTGATCTGGTATTCTACACGAATCAAAATCGGCATGGTACGACTTTTTCGTCCGTATGATAAATCGAGCGGCAGTATTCGGCACACGTTGGAGTTTGTTGAAAATATAAAAATGAGGCTGAGAAACTGAAATAGAAAAAAGTCTAGTCCTTAGGATGGGACAGAGCCCTATATTCTACAGGCTGACCTTGTTTAGGTCCCTCGATAGTTGGTAAAGAATTATCTCTGTTTATTATTGTTATTTGAATGGCCCATGTGCTCGTTTACATTATTTATGCTCTTTTCTAGAAATCTGCCATTAGCCAATGTACTCAGTATGGTGATAGTTATAGTTATTTATCTTTTGACCAATGTCTCATATTTAACTGTGATGAGTGTTCAACAGTTACTAGCATCGCCTGCTGTTGCCGTGGTATGTATAAAGCGTGATAAAACTTTTCTTAAAGCAAACTATTTGATTGATTGGTGTTTCTAATTATCATGTATTCTTAATCATATCATGTTCTTATTGCATATTATGATTAACAATTTTAACCGATCATAAATGTACATGTATGTGCAGTATGGATAAACAACAAAAATACTTTTTTACCTTTCTTGGTTGGTCACTCATTGAAATTCTGCTGGTAATTCTATTCTTATTTAGCTCATTATGAATTAATTATGGACATGACAGACAAACTGGTATTTCTCAAAGTCATTAGAACACCTCTACTTTCTATTTATATTAGTAATAGCATTTTCCTTTTCATAAATGAAAATAAGGGAACCCATCTTTAAGACATTGTCATCGGTACATCAGTGAATGTCAAGCCCGTGCCCCAAAATTCTACTGAAAGGTGTGCATGATTTTCAGAATTAATAATTTGATTTGCAACTACACCAAGATAGTGATTGGATTGTGTGGATGGGGTCGTCCTTTTTTCATTTAAAAAAACGATTGTATTTTTAGACATGGGGTGATAAAGTATTGGGCGCTGCTAGTATTTTGATGCCCTTGTCTGTAATGGTCTCAACGTTTGGTGGTGCTAACGGATCGGCTTATACTGGTGGAAGGTAAAGAAAAACTAAAGAGTTGAAATTTGTATAGTACAAATTGGGTGCCTTGTTATTTGCTTTTACATTTTTAAATTGATGTTATTAATCGATGTTCGGTGTGTGGTAGATGCGTCCTCCATTATCAATTCTATTTTTACATTGTCCCTATATCTTTAATCTCTCCAAGAACTGAAATGCAAGAGGTCTATATCCATACTTGTTCCTTAAAGGTTTACATTCCGAGTCATTGACAGTATACTCTATATAATCTTGAATTTTTTTACCCTCTCGAGAAGCCGTTCTTTAAACCACTAAAGAGGCAACATACAATGTTTTTTTTAATTAAAAATATTTCAGGGTAGTATTTGCTGCAGCGCGTGATGGATTCTTGCCTGAAATTTTGTCTTATGTTCATTGTAAAAACTTCACTCCATTGCCGTCTATGTTATGTACAGTAAGTATAATTATTAACATTACAACAATTAATTAATTCAATGAGAATCATTGATAAATTTTGTACTAATAATGATAATGGATGAGTATTGTTTAAATGTAGATAATGATATTATTCTAATAATACATGGTTACAACACATTATTGTTTATATCTGGATATTTATATCATTAATAATGACAAAAACCAGCTGATAACCTAGTATTGTTTTAGATCTGTATATCATTACTGATAATAAAACCAGGTGATAACCTAGTATAGTTTTAGATGTGTATATCATTACTGATAATAAAACCAGGTGATAACCTAGTATTGTTTTTTAGATGTTTATATCATTACTGATGATAATACCATGTGATAATCTAGTATTATTTTTAGATGTTTACATCATTACTAATGATAATGCCAGATGATATCTTAGTATTGTTTATATTTAGATATTTTTATTATTACTGGTGGTAATACTAGTGATAGCCTAGTATTGTTTATTTTGAGATATTTACATCATTACTGATGATAATATTACATTATAACTTAGTACTCTTTATATTTAGATATTCATATCATTACTGATGATAATATTACATCATAACTTAGTACTCTTTATATTTAGATATTTATATCACTACTGATGATAATACCAGGTGATATTGGAGGTTTAATAGATCTGTTCAGTTTTACTGCCTGGTGTTTCTATGGTATGACATTTTTAAGTCTCATTATATTGAGATTCAAAATGAAAAACAAAGAGAGACCTTACAAGGTACGACTCTCTATTTACATTATACAACACTGAATAATCCAAGGTAGCCATTTCTCAAATAAGCGACTACCTTATTTGGTTCTCACATTTTGTGTTTGTTTGGTACAACTGTGGTCCTGCTTTTTATACATCCACATACGTCGGTCCGTCCGTCCACAATTGCTCGTAAACACTAGAAGGCACAATTCTTGACTGAATGTGACGAAACTTGGTATGATTGTTTGTAATCACCTAAGGATGATCCCTATTGAAAATCAGATAAATCTCAAATATCATATTTAGTATGAGTTATTGCCCTTGTTCTTGAAATGCTCGTTAAAACTCTGGAAGGTGCAATTCTTGACAGATTTTGATGAAACTTGGTGTAAGTGTTTGCTTTCACCCAAGGATAAAACCCTTACGAAAATTAGAAGAAGAATCGAAAAATATTTTGAGTTATTACCCTTGTTCGTAAAAACGTGTTCAAGTTTTAGCCTGTAAACATTCTAGAAGACCCCATTCTTGGCACATTTTGACGAAACTTAGTAGTATTATACAGTATCGCCCCAAAAAGTTCAAAAGAAGTGTAAGACTGAAGGATGAATATATAAATATCTTGGTAATTGTTTCTGTACTGCAAAATATTTTCAATTAAAGTCAGCTGCCATTGCGCGTATAATACCTTGCAAACTGTCTTTTTCTCATTTTCTTGTGTTTTCTGCTATATCTATTTCTAAAAGCAAACTAATATGTTATACATAAATGGAAATGATTATAAATTGATTATGGAAAAATTGGGCACGAGTTTTTATCAACCCAATGTGTTTGTATCATTGTGTTTTGAACAGAGGAAAATTCATGTATTTAAATGGTTCTTTTTTTTATTTTAAATTCCCTTTGTCTTGTAGGTTCCCATTGTTATACCAATAGTTTTAGTATTGATCTCAATCTACCTTGTTATTGCACCGATAGTTTATGAACCTAAAATAGAATTCCTGTATGCGTTCTTATTCGTTATGGCTGGTCTAATATTCTACTTTCCTTTTGTTTATTGGAATATTAAATTGAAAGGAATAGGTAACTAAAAATCTTTAACAAAAATCAATTGGTGTTCAAAAGGAAAGAATTGAATGATACATCATTTAATTAATTCATTATAAATTTGTCTTTGACAAATTAATATTTAAATAGAATATGCTTGAAATCGATCATCTTGCTTAATGAAATAAATTCTCTGATCCAACAAGCTGATGTCTACGTCACATAATTTGATGGAAAATAAATACATTTAACCCATACTGATGAAAATATGAAAATGATTCTAGAGACGTTGGCATTTTTAATTGTCATCTTATAGTTTCGACATAACGTAAATTACTATAAGTCTAATGTCATGTGTGTGTGTGTGTGTGAGTCAAAGGGCTAAGATGCTGAAGACTGATACTAAATTTGATAATTAATTTAGATAATTTCCATGTTCTTTTATATTTTCAGATTCAATTACCATGTATTTACAGTTAATATTGGAGGTTGTACCATCTAATTTCCCATCCGAATAACGGCGATGACCATTCTGTAGAATTAATATCACTATACCATAATTATTATTTTAAACTGTAATTCACGAACTATGTATATGATGTGTTTCCTATTTTATATTCCAACTTGCTATATTATCTACATACAGTCACTTTAAATTTCTTGGTTTTCATAATCCCAAAAGTGTTTTTAAAAATTGTACATTCGTGCCAAGATATAGTAGGTGACCGTTGAAACCTCGTATAACGTAATATGAAGAGAAATTCCTTTTCGACAAAAACACACAAAACTGTTTGAACACACATAATATTGTTTAAATTTGAATTATCTGTTTCCATTCTTTGACAATTTAAACCTCGTATAATAATTCCAGAACTCTAACCTATTCAATCGTATAACATTGCAGTATTCGAGGTTTTTCTGTTTTTTTGGGGGGGTTTATTGTTGCAGAAAGATTGAAACCTCGTATATAATATTTTTTAAAGTTTTAAATCTGTCTGTTAATATACGTGTTATTTAATTAGTGAATTTGGGTTATTTACAATGTTTTGATCAAAAGATCCGCGCTTTTATGAGCTTTCGAACAATACAAATAAGTGAAAATGACCGAATATGGCATATACGACGTTTCAAGCGGTCACCCACCACGATATCTAATTGATACAGCATGATATTATCACTGGAATATTTTGCAGTGCGGTGCTTTTCGCCTCTTGACTACTTCGTTATAGACTAAAATTTGTTACAACTCCCTGGTACTGTACGTAAGTGTATGGATCAAGATTTTGGTCCGTTACAATAGGAGCAAAGTTATGGTCCATGTCGAACTTGTACTAATGCCTAGTTCACACCAACGGCGAATGCCGCGCTTTAAATCGGCGAGCAAAGCGCCATCATTTTTTGTTTACTTTTCAAAAATTATCACGATCTCCTAAGTAATGTTACGCTCTGATACGAATTATTTCCCGATTTGATCAGGCCTTGTTACGCTTTAAATCACGCTTTGATAAGCTTTATTAAGCTTTGATGCGGTTATGACGCTTAAAATTACGCTCTGATACGATTATCAAGCTCTGTTGTGCATTGTTAAGCTCGAAATGGCCGATTTCATGCCGCTTTTGATCAAGTGGTGACAGACCGTGAAGACTGGGGTCCCCGCTTTGAATAAAGCTCTGTTAAGCTTTCCTACGCTTTGAGTCAAGCTTTGCTGAACTTTGTTACGCTTTGTTAAGCTTTGATACGTTCTCGGCGCTTTAATCAATTCGTGACAGAGCGCCCAAAATTTTTAAACAGTTTAAAACAGCTGTTACTCATTGCTCCTGCAAAGGAATTTTTCATGTAAATTTCAGATGGAGTCAGGCCGACCAAAACGATTTTTGTTATGTATCAATCTTCAAACGTGTTTCAATATTTTTCATTTATCGACGTTTTTCATCCAAGGTTGCCACAGACGTAGGTCCCCTTTTGTTCTTTTTTTATTACCTTTTGTGTACTGATCTATTTTTTTTTTTGATACTGTCATTCAATTTAGTAAATGTCGAGTAAGGTCAAATAAATAGATTGTCTTATTTCTTTAAGAAAGCCACGGTGTGTTAATATTATTTCACTTGATTTTATCTATAGATATGTCTTTTTTGCATTGTTAATGTCAAACTTAACAAGTCCTCTAAGCGGTGATCCTTTACAAAACGCATGTAAAAACAATCCGAGATAACAATTTGAACGTCCGTTTAATAATGTTTCCTCCAATATATGTATCCCATAATAAATAGTATTCCGGAATCATCAATGCTTTCATATTTTCTGTAGACGTCGTTAGCGAGCTAAATAGTACACACAATCGTAGACAATTCTATTCATTGCCATGGGTACTTCATTTTTTAAAATTGTTTAAATTCAACGAGAAGACTGCTTTTATTTAAGATGATATTTTATACGTGGTATATAACAGATCGTAAGATATCTTGATAGAGCTTATTACAGTCAGAATGAGAGAATTGAATTTTTCAATTTTTGTTCTCGTCTTGGGTAAGTAAACTAAGTCCTATCATAATATTTAACTGATCTTCCTGAAGAATGCAAGCTTCTATGTATTAGTCTCGTCTCGAAAGATTGGATTTTGAATTTGTTAAGAACTACAGTTTTGATAGAATTTTAAAGGGACAGATTCGCCACTTTTGGTGGTTGATTCGGGCCTTGGGGAAACACTAGAAATATACAAAATTCGCACTATTTCTTCAAAAATACTTCAAACTGGCAATTTCACTTTCTATTTCAATATGTCTTTTTTAAATATGAAAACAAGACGATTCATCATTTTAACTTTCAAATGCGGATAAATCTGGATACACATGGATTTGAAAAGGGTCAAACTTTGACATTGAGATGTTTTGTATTATTACTGATAAGCCTGGCTAAAACATTCTGATACTTTGGTACGATTGGTCAAACGAATGTCGAATCTGTCTCTAGAGCATGACCAATCTGAGTAATAATTTCGCAATTCACATTTTCTTTATGTATATTGGCTGCCTTTGATGCAATGCTTTTTCGAATATCAAATGTGGGGTGTCGAAACGACAGATGGTACAATTTTGAAAAATTGTCTTCGAAACATCACATGAGTTTCCAAGAACAATAGCTATAACTTATATTCGATGTGTTTCGAGTTTTCTTTAAATAAATGAAAAGATAGCTTGGCAAGGTAACATACCCACTGGCAGCTGTCAGAAATGATTAAACAGTCTTTAGTGACTACAGGGTTGCAAAATATAGCTAATAGAGTGAAACGTCAAGTCAGACACGATATTTCGGTGAAATATTATCCGATCATCGCGAAAATCGATAGGGATCATCTTCATAATGACATTGACATACAAAATAAAAATCAAAAGAATCTGTAAACAATTGTAGCCTGTAGAGTGAGCACGAGTTGCACAATATAGCTAATAGAGTAAAACGTCAGGTCAGACATGATATTTCGGTGAAAAATTATCCGATCATCATGAAAATCGATAGATCATCATGAAAATCAATAGGGATCATCTTCATAATGACATTGACACACAAAATAAAAATCAAAAGAATCTGTAAAAAATTGTAGCCTGTAGAGTGAGCACGAGTTGCACAATATAGCCAATAGAGAAAAACGTCAAGTCAGACACGATATTTCGGTGAAAAATTATCCGATCATCACGAAAATCAATAGGGATCGACTTCATAACAACATTGATATACAAAATAAAAATCAAAATAATCCATAAAGAACTGTAGCCTGTAGAGTGAGCACGAGCCAAATGTGAACGGACGGACGGACCGACGGACCGACGGGGTGATTACAATATACGCCCATCTTACGTGTGGGCGTATAAAAAGGGTACAGCTTTTTCTCAGATTTTCTTCGGAAAATCGACCAAAGCTAATTTCCACAAGATTCATTTTCATAAAAAAACTTCCTTTGCATACTTGAAGACTTTGTTCTGAAAATTTTGTCTGCAAAAACAACTCATCAAATGAAGAAATACCCTATCAATAATATTGTATTTATAAGAGGGTCGACCCACCAAATTCAGACCCACAGACCAAAGATGGGATAAATATGTCAAAATGACGTAGAATTGGCACAAGACAAAAGTTAATAGAAAAAAGGACTAAGGACAGTTAGTATGTGACAAAAAATGACCAAAGTTATTGTGCTATGTACACGCATTGTGATATAGTAATGCTACTAATGCTGTCGTTATTCTCGCGATGATTGAACAATACTTCTCCAATTAAGGCATACATTTTCTATAAAATTAAATGTTCAAGTACAATTTTACCGGAAAGCTTTTAGACAGGATGGATTTGTTAATCATTTATTGTAATTCATCTAAATTATTTTTTGTGTTTTTGTTTTATGTGCACTTTGCTTCTAGATGTCGCTGAAATCGTATATTGTAATGTTTCTATTACATTTTATATTGCAGTACAAACAATGACCCCATTGAAGGGATGTAAACTCTTCTGGCCTATGCTTAGCTATCATATTGATGATCGTCATGATAAGGATCTCATACAAGTACAGAACCCAAAAGACAATGATATCTTTGAAGTAAGCGATGAAAATGTTCTTTATTCTGAGGGATTAAATGCAAAGTTTCTCAAATTTACTGGAGAGAGAAGACGGTATGTTGAAACAGATGTTAAACCCGGCAAGGAATATGATAAAAAATTTGCCATTAGTATGATTTTTAAATCGTCTTTAAGTAATGGAACACTCTTCCACTACAAAGCAAATTCTAATTCGACAGAAATAAAAGAAGTAATAATTCTTCTGGAAAATGGAGTGATCAAATCATGGATAGTGTGCTCTTCCCCAATTAAATGTTCGACCGTGGAAAAAAATGAAAATCTTTCTGATTCATGGAGAAGTTATCTGGTTGAATATAAGTTTGATGGAAAGATTGAACTAGATGGAAATGCTCGTATTGGAGGTTCATTTGACAATCCTATTGGGGAATTTGTTGGTGTTTTTCAATGTGTATCTATGGTGCATGATGCACATAAAGAAGCAAAGGAACGGAATAAAAAATGCGACTATAAAGAGATTGAAGAAAAGTTATCTAAAGGAGGTAACTTCAGTACAGATCTTTTAAAACTCTGTTATAGGAATAATCCCAATGTTGCCATGGGCTCTTTTAGTTGGTAAAATCAAATATTTAGGACGTAAACTAGGGTCTTTTTCTATAAGGCAAAAATCATGTTGTCTTTAAAGTCAGTCAACGCAAAGTGTTCGGTAGACTTCAAAGGGTAACCACCTTTACCGTAGACTTTAAATAAACGAAGTATTGAGCGGATGTAATATTCATATTCTTATTTAATTGGTAAAATTTTTTTTGTCGGCACGAGACATATGCCTTGATGTAGTTACGGGCCAATTTTTCCGTATAAGTTTTATATTTGACTACTATTTATTAATCACTACTATGATAATTTTAATTATAATCTAAAGTAAGAACACGTGTATTAAAACGTTTGTCTTTAAGTAAAATTTAACATTTCACCATGTCTTAAATGAAATAGAAACAAATATTTTTTGGCCATTTCAGAAAAACACAGTAGACCTTTGACTGAAGTATCAGTGACATCAATTTGGCCACTCAACAACCGTTCATGTGGTTATGAAGCAACAAAAGTTGTTAAACCCGACAGCACCCCTGGTTCATGCAGTAGCTGGATTTCCCTATCAACTTCAATGGTTGGTTTGGAGGAGCCATCAGTGGCAACTTTAAAATCCACAGATTACATCAACACTACAATTAGTGATAATTGGTCGTTTGATCGATTTAGTATTGCAATCTTTGTTCAAGTATCAAAAGTAACTGGTAAGCCTGATAAACCAATTATATATGTTCGTTTTCCTTATGGAAATTTTGAAAGTCTAACAGTTAAAATTGATAAGAACAACAATATATTAGTACTTTTGTCAACTGGAGAGACAATTTCTCAAAATATTGGTGACATTGCAACTTGGCACTTCATTGCTGTCCAATATAATCATGACTGGGAGGAACTATCTCTAATTATTGATGATAGGTTTTATAAAACAGATTTTTCTATAAATAATTCAACTTCCTTAACCTCATCTGGTGTTAAACTAGACATTGGTGGTTTCGAAGGAAACATTACTTGTGTGACCATATTTAATACACCATTGAGTGAAAACACAGCATCTGATCTGTTAAAACAAGAATGTAATAAGAAAAGGAGCTTCACTGCACCTGGTATGTATTGATTTTGTAATTGATTTATAATTACTTGTGATGATTAAAGCGACCCATTAAGTGTTGGTTAAGATAATCACAGATCAGCGGGGTAGCGAGGATTTCGTTGACAGGGGGAGGGGTGGGTGCATCCTGGCGCCCTGACTTACCTTTGCAGATTTTCGAGGACCCTAGCTATGGTGGGGGGTCAGAGGACTCTGCCTTGAAAATTCTCTAATGTGGGAGGCCTGAGAATATATTCAAACACGATTTTCTAAGTGAAAGTCTGGCGCAAACAAAATTACTACTTAAATACGCCACTGACACAAATCTTCAGGTTTATATGTGTATCACCATTTTTGTTGAACAATTGACAACAGATATTCTTAATTTCATCGCAAAGGTGCGAGTGAACTGTTCCAAATTACCACTAATTTTTATATTTTCTATTCTTTAGCTGAAGATGCTCCGGAGCCTGTGGAATTGTGGCCACTCAGTAAAATGACTATGGGTTTCGAAATGATCTCGCAACAACAACTGTCCACTACTCCGAAAAAATTATGCTGGCGATTCAACCATAATGAACCTACAGATTTAATAGATTCTGAAGCTGTACAGTTTTATGGAGCTGATCAATTTTCTTTACAAATCGACTCAATCATTAGATCTGATATATTTGTTGTTGGTGTGTTTGTTGAGACCCATGAAACTTCAGGAACTATTCTGAAAATAAATGTTGGCTCTGAAAGTGTTGAATTATCTACAAAACTTGGTAATGTAAGTCTGAAAGTAAATAATGACACTTGTTTGGAGATTCCTTGGTCATATAACGATAAATGGACATCAGTCGTCTTAGAATTTAGTGCAAATGAACTAAAACTAAACGTTGAGGACACTGGTATACAACATAGTTGTAGTGTAAATACAATTACAAAACCAGCTGCACTGGCACTGGTGCTCGGTGGAATCCCAGACAGCTTCATAGGCGAAATGAGATGTCTGGAAATATTTAATTCAAGTATCATTGTAACAGGTTCAGCAAGATCAGTTTTGAAATTGGAATGTTCTAAAAGCAAAGATTTTACGCCAGGTATGTCAATGTTTTGTTACTGTAATGTTCCCGTCCTAACATACTCATTACGTCTATCATTATCAACAGTAGAATGAATTAGTCATATTTAGCAGGTTTCTTTAGAAAGGAGTTATCAAAAGCTACGTCACAATAATTTGATAACCCACTAATCTATATTTCAATGAAAATTTAGTACTATCCGTGAAGGTTGCTGGTATTCGGTTGTATGATTTAGTTTAAATGTCTAAGAAATATACCAAAGTTAGCCTTATACTGATCCATAGTTTGTATCTTGTGTTTATTCAGGTCTTGATCCAGTACCGTCTGTAACAGCGTTAAATGTATGGAGAATGGATAACGAAACAATATTAACAAATAAACAGATACATGGCATGGAATTGCTCAATTCCAACCAATCACTCTATTTTGATGGATCTAGTAGATTACATCTACTGATAAACGTGTCTATTCCGACTGATGAAATGAGTCTTGGATTCTTTTTTAGACCAATGGAATACAGCAAAGGGGTGATATTACAGGACACATCTTCAGATTTCCACATTTCAATTGATGATCACAAGTTGGTTATAAATACTAAATCATCTTGTGGTGCGGTCACCTTTACTGGTGTTACAGGTGGTGATTGGCATTGGTTGATGATTAATAGAATCATCAGTTGTAAATCTTTGATATTTGTTCTAGACGGCGAAGTGAAATATGCTCATTCTAGCTGTTTTGAGACATCAGGATTGATGGAAGTACGTCTCGGTGGTGAAGAAAGGTCCTTTAAAAATTTTAGAGGTGATCTAAGTTGTCTGGCCTTGTTTAATACTGCTGTAGACTGGGAAATTGGTAACGAGTCTATGATACAGTCGTGTAATATTAACCAACAGGATGGACGTAAGTATGGTGTATTTATTATAGTTTATAGATGTTGAAGTAAGTCATTTAATTGGTGACGAACACGACTATTTTTAAAAAAATAAAAAAACTAGAACCACTCGTGGTACTGAGTGGGACTTTGCTCTTGTTCCAATGACCTTTGACCATGTTAAGGGGAAGGTCATTTAAGGTCAACGTCACTAGATATGAGTCATCAAACTTTGAAAATACAAACATTATAAAACCGGAAGTTGACGATGAACATCAAATATGAAGGAATAAATCTTTAGCCAAGGTCAATGACCTTCGATCCTACAAAGGTCAAGGTCATCAATGGTAAAGGTCAAAAGTTGAAAATATGCAAAATTTAAACCCTGTTCCTTTTTTTGAACTACGAAGCGGAAACAACTGACCTTTTCACACAAAATGGCCAAAGGGGTGAGGTAATTGTGTGCAAGGTCTTGTTTTGAACAAATGTATGTTATACAAGTTATACCCCCGATAAAAATGTAAATAATAAGTAATTTAAGCTTAATGTGCCACGCCCACCTCAACTTTTTTGTCATACGTCAATTCATATTTAATATGTCTCGTTGTGTTCCAAATTCCAAGCTTTTACAGCAAATAGGTCATAAGAAATACATAGAACTAGCTCAAAGAAGCTAACATATTGTAAAAAAACACCGAAATTTCAAAAATTCAGAAATTTCGATTTTGCATTATATATCACTGGAAAGAGCACGATGAGCACATTCAGAATCCACAAAAATTTACCCTCAAAGTTAATTAGGTCACGAGTTAGAACTGTCCAAATTTGCGAATTCGGATGTTTTTGGACAGCTATAAAAGCGGAAGTAAACGTCAGAGGTCAAATATGAAAGCATAAACTAATAAACAAGGTCAATGACCTTTGACCCAATAAAGGTCAAGGTCATCAAAGGTCAAGTTCAAAAATGGAAAATTGTGAATTTCCAAAACCTGTTCCTTTTTTTGAAATATAAAGCTGAACTAACTGACCTTCTAAGACAAAGTGGCTCACAGGATGACTTAATTGTGAGCAAAGTTCCATTTTGAACAAATGTATTCTTTGGGAGTTATGCCTTTGGCCAAAAATGTCAATAATGAATAATTTAACCCGGATGTGCCACGCCCACGTCAATTTTTTTGAGTGACTTTATTAATAATTATAATGTCATATACATGCGTTATTTTCAAGCCTTTACATCTATTGGTTAATGAGATATACCATCATGAAGGTTAAAAACGTCAAAATCTAAAATTGAAAATTTTGAAAAACCTAAAACCCGTTCCTTTTTTTTGAACTAAAACGCTGAAACCGTGAGATTTTGATATAATTTAGTTAAAGTAATGAGGTAAGTCTGTGCAAAAGCATTTTTCAAAAAAATGCAATCTATGTATATTTTTTCCAGACAACAAAATGTAAACGAAATGAAAATCTAACCCGGATGTGCCACGCCCACGTCATTATTTTTTGAATGAGTACATAAGTACGGGGTATGAAAAATTATGTTCCAAGTTTGAAGCCTCTATACTAATTGGTTCATGAGATATGTCTATAATTAAGTCAAAAAACTCAAAAAATCAGTTAAAGGTTTCCAAAATTGCAAAATGTAAAAAAATTGAAATTTTGCATTACAATGCATTGTGATATATCGTTCGAAAGCTCGTAAAGCCCATTCAGAATCTGCAAAAAATAACTCTCTAGGTCAATTAGGTCACCTGTACGAGCAGTCCAAAGTTGCGATTTTTGCTGTTTTCGGACAGCTATAAAACCGGAAGTAGGTGTCGGAGGTCAAATATCAAAGTATCATCTGGTAGCCAAGGCCAGTAACCTTTGACCTACTAAAGGTCAAGGTCATCAAAGGTCAAGGTCACGAGAAATGAGACTTCAAAAATTTAAAAAATTCAACCGGAAATTGCAAAAAAACAAAATCGAAATTCAAAAATCGACTTCCAACAATCTTTTTTAATTTTTATGTTCTTTCATTTGACACCAAAATTTTGAAATTCGGTTCATCCAAATTGGCTGAATAAAAATCGAAGAGTTTCAGGGAAATCAAAATGGCGGCTGAAATACCATTCCAATTTTCGATCTTTTTTGCACACGTTTATGCCATATCTATGGCAACGGATCAGTACAAGTTTCGTTAAAAAATATCAATTACAGCGGAAGTGGGTCAACCGGAAGTTTGCACCCTTATTACGTGTAAACCGGAAGTGGCGCAAAACTTTTGACTGCAAAGTTTTGTTTACTACCCTATTCTCTATTTTTAATAAAAATTTCAGATAAATCAGACAAATAGTAAAAAAATAGAAAAAATGGTCAAAAATTGCAAAAGTTTAGATGCAAAAAGTGTGCAACGAATATTTGAAAATCAAATTTTTTTAACTCATACGTTATTGAGATTTCGCTACAGATTCTAAAAATGAAAATCCGAGCAAAATCAATCAAAAATTGCACCTTCCAGGCCCCCAAAACCAGTTTTTGCACATTTTGCAAGTGCACCACTTCCGGTTCTGCAAAAATGTTTCAATTTATATTCATTAAGTACCTAGAAAAAAAGTAACATATAGGGTTGTAAAACTGTTGCTACAGCTGTTGCAGTTTAGGCTGTGTGCCCTGTGTAAAAAACGAAAAAAAAATGGAAACATTTCGATACCAAACTGAAAAGCTCAAAAGAGTTTCTTGTTTTGACCATGTTAATTTTAGTTCAGATGTGTTCCTCTTTGTAATATGATGGCTTAGTTTTACTATAGATCTATGTTGGTGGTAGTTAACTGTCAGGTACTGTATGGGTATTTACTATTTTAAACACGCAAAGCCTGGGAAAGTCGGCAAAGTGTGCATGAGATGGTCGTTTTCGGAACATAAACCTATATCGTAATTTGGTTTTGAAATTACCATGTCTCCCAAAAACAACGGTAAAAACGAATTCTCAAACATACTCGAACATTGTTGTGTATTTCAGATTTTGTAATCGAAGGAGAGGAACTTTACCCCAACAGTAAATTTGACATGATTGCTACCGACTCCTTTCCCTCAGACCAGGATGGAATGATAAGTCAATTACATGTAAAGTCATCGTTAGATTGTTCTAAAACCTGTTCAGCAACCAGATCTTGTAGATCATATAGCTTAATTATTACTGAAACGTTCACAACATGTACCCTTTTCGATTTCATTACTCTAGGTGGTTTAAAAGTATCGGAAGGCTCAAAGTATTATGGAATTCTTTATTAATTGAACACTAGTTTATATAAGAGCTTTATACCAGACAAATAACATGGTTCTTAGCTTGTGTAAATTGTAGTTAAAATTTCAGATTTATATCTATTAGAGAAAATGTTACAGCACGCTATTTTAGATTTTTATTCACGTTATGTCAAAAGCAATAGATTATTTCATTTAAGACGATGTATCCGCTTTATTAATTTCTAAATTTTACTTATTTCACGACTGGTTCTGTATTTTGGTAGAAAAATTCTGGAAATTGGTGTTTTGTCTAAAACGTTATATACAGAAATTTGTTTATACTGTATGAACTTTCTCAGACGGATAAGTCGGTTGTTGGAAACAAAATGTAGATATTCGGGCTGGCCCAGCTTGACGTACAGAACAACTAGTAAATCGCTCATTGAGATGAAAACGTGTTTTAATTCTTACTATTCTACCTGAATGAACTAATGAACACCGTGTGCACAACGAAAGTAAATTTTGCAGGGCTAGCGGCTTTAACCAGTCTAATTATAATTAAACCAAACTTCCGCTTTGTATTAAAGTTTATTTTTAATTTAGCCACTTCAGTTAGTGACTATGGTAAAGTAAAGCGGAACTGAATGTTTAATTTTATTTTGACTAACCTACTCTGATTTCGATTTCAAACTTCGAAGGGATCTTTGCAAACAAAGTTAGAACCTAAATTGTTTCTAAAGTATTATATATAAATTTGTCAATCAATTAAAAATAACATAATAGCCACTCTCTTTTCTCTTTGAGATCTTTCAATCTCTTTTTATGTAAAAAATAATTCTGCTTTTCTCACCTCTTGCTTTCAGAAAAGCTTATGATATCAATTATTTTCCTCAAAATAACAACCACAATTATTCAGAACAGTTTTCTCATAAAACAGCTTAGATATAATAAAAAGGGAAACAACTCTAGAAAGCCTGCACATGTTATAACAGCCTTTAAAAGCATGAATCATGATTATAATTATACTTGAGAACCACAAAACAAAGATCATATCCAAAAAAGAATACAAACAATTTATTAGACATCTCAAATGTTTCACCGTGTAATTATAAACTAGTTGACCTATGAACCGTCCTATCACATTATGTCTTTGATTGTCGATTAACCATTCAATATATAAAATAAAACTCATTTAAAGGACAAAATGTTTATTTCATTTCATAAAAATATGTATAAATATATTTCTAAGGAAAAGCTGAATTATGTGAATGTGTCAGCTTGTGGATGCAAAGTACCAAAAAGTAGAACAACATTAAAATTAATTCAGTACATGTATATTCAATACTGAGCAACTTGCTTTACAAATCTTGAAAGGAACTTGCGCTCAGTCTTACTTTTCAAAAGCAGCTTCTTGGTTACGCCACACCTTCTATTGCGGCAAGGCTGTTGCAGCATTTTATAACCGAAATAATTACAAATAACTAATAATTGATATCTGCTCGCTCTCCATCTACTAAAAACAGAATATCGTATATCTGTCAAAAGCAGACGCATCATGGGGGTTCATATATCTGGCGGATAATATACATTAAGGTTATTTTGTTGGGATGAAAATGCCCCCTTTCATCTCCAGAAATCGACATATCGTCTATCATGATCAGGATGACTATCAAGTCTAGCATAATTACCAGTCTATCATTTACACCAAGATCTAACATAGTAACCAATAGTTTATTTGTTCACCAAGAGTCTATCCGTTTATCATCATCACCAATTAATCATCAATTAATGTCTATAATGGTCTTCTAGTGACCCAGATTCTATAATAGTCATCTGGAATTTGACGGGGCTCTGTAAGCTTATGATGTCTGGTAAGTAGAAAACCACTTATACGGTTTTTGATCAGATACATAGTCATTGGTAGTCCCTGCATATTTACATGATAGTACTAAAACCTCCAAACTACCGAATTAAACAAACATCGGTAAATGCAATAGTATACACGAATTATTACCTTGGTGAAAAAGAAATATGTCTTATATGAGCCATAGTAATTTTCATATCTTCTGCAGACGTCGTTATCACACCAATGAACACAGTGGTCTTTACAAAAGCGTAGACAGTACCTTTCATTGTCATAGGTAATCTATTGTTTGAAATTGTTTAAATTCAGGAGACTGCTTTTATTTCAGATGATGGCAATTTACAGACCAGAAACTGTTCATGGAATATCTTAATAGAACTCATTTCATTATGGGAGTTGTGAATTTATTGTTTTTTGCGCTCATCATAGGTAAGTTTTATAAGATATTTTACCACGTACTTCTTTTGAATGAGAATGTTCAAACTTACACAAATCTGTCAGGTTAAATCAGTCTCGTTAAATATATACATGTATTTAACTCTTCTTGATGAAAATGGTTATCTTCAGTGTATCGGTGTTAACTGAAATGAGAATACAACATAAAGAAAGCTCGGACCTAGGTCCGTAGCAAAGACTATTCATTTAAAAGTGCTGACCACGTATTTTGGAAACGATCTTAGCGCTAGAATGTCCTAGGTTCTTACCTTCTAACATTGATTGTAGGGCAGCCTAGTGCTAAGATGGTTTTTAGAATACCCGGCCTCGTTAGCTTAGTAATGTTTTGTTAGTTTTAAGAATGATGAAAATTCTCAGGTATTTCGTTAATGGACTGGGCCTATATGACAACTAAAAAAATATGCTTTAAGTATTGGATTTACAATATATTTATTTTTTAAACTTGCAAGAAACTACAGTTTTTATAGGATTTGTTTAGGTATGGTTAAACTCTTTTATCGCCTATTCCATATTTTTTTAATTGGTTTCACAGGTTAGAAAACGGGGTTTTAAAATTATTTTACTTACCTGGCTATGCATACCTAATTATTTCATTTTTAACTTTTATATACTAAAAAGGGCGAAATGCCCAATACTTGACAACTTTGACCCAGAAAAGCAAAAATTATGCTTTTAAATTATTGACAGTATAAATAGATTGAAGTTCATATACCTATTGTCATTAAATTAAATACTGTGTAAGAATTTCTATCGATCTTTTGCAAGGACAACTGTTTTGCAAATTCAGTATTTGACTTAAGACTAGAAGTTTAGAAGTTTTTTTTCATGTTCTTTAAAATTGGTACAGAAAAATTTATCCGGAAAATAATTCCATGGAATGTTTTATATACATTACATTTTATATTACAGTTCAAATAATAATGCCATTGAAGGGATGTAAACTCTACTGGCCTATGCTTAGCTATCATATTGATGATCGTTATGATAAGGATCTCATACAAGTACAGAACCCAAAAGACAATGATACCTTTGAAGTAAGCGATGAAAATGTTCTTTATTCTGGTGGATTAAATGCAACATTTCTCAAATTTACTGGAGAGAGAAGACGGTATGTTGAAACAGATGTTAAACCCGGCAAGGAATATGATAAAAAATTTGCCATTAGTATGATTTTTAAATCGTCTTTAAGTAATGGAACACTCTTCCACTACAAAGCAAATTCTAATTCGACAGAAATAAAAGAAGTAATAATTCTACTGGAAAATGGAGTGATCAAATCATGGATAGTGTGCTCTTCCCCAATTAAATGTTCGACCGTGGAAGAAAATGAAAATCTTTCTGATTCATGGAGAAGTTATCTGGTTGAATATAACTTTGATGGAAAGATTGAACTAGATGGAAATGCTCGTATTGGAGGTTCATTTGACAATCCTATTGGGGAATTTGTTGGTGTTTTTCAGTGTGTATCTATGGTGCATGATGCACATAAAAAAGCAAAGGAACGGAATAAAAATTGCGACTATAAAGAGATTGAAGAAAAGTTATCTAAAGGAGGTAACTTCAGTACAGATCTTTTAAAACTCTGTTATAGGAATATTCAATATAATTAATATATGAAATTATTCCCAATGTTGCCATGGGCTCTTTTAGTTGGTAAAATCAAATATTTAGGACGTAAACTAGGGTCTTTTTCTATGAGGCAAAAATCATGTTGTCTTTAAAGTCAGTCAACGCAAAGTGTTCGGTAGACTTCAAAGGGTAACCACCTTTACCGTAGACTTTAAATAAACGAAGTATTGAGCGGATGTAATATTCATATTCTTATTTAATTGGTAAAAAAATTTTTGTCGGCACGAGACATATGCCTTGATGTAGTTACGGGCCAATGTTTTTATATTTGACTACTATTTATTAATCACTACTATGATAATTTTAATTATAATCTAAAGTAAGAACACGTGTATTAAAACGTTTGTCTTTAAGCAAAATTTAAAATTTCACCATGTCTTAAATGAAATAGAAACAAATATTTTTTGGCCATTTCAGAAAAACACAGTAGACCTTCGACTGAAGTATCAGTGACATCAATTTGGCCACTCAACAACCGTTCATGTGGTTATGAAGCAACAAAAGTTGTTAAACCCGACAGCACCCCTGGTTCATGCAGTAGCTGGATTTCCCTATCAACTTCAATGGTTGGTTTGGAGGAGCCATCAGTGGCAACTTTAAAATCCACAGATTACATCAACACTACAATTAGTGATAATTGGTCGTTTGATCGATTTAGTATTGCAATCTTTGTTCAAGTATCAAAAGTAACTGATAAGCCTGATAAACCAATTATACATGTTCGTTTTCCTTATGGTTACTTTGAAAGTCTAACAGTTAAAATTGATAAGAACAACAATATAATAATACTATTGTCAACTGAAGAGACAATTTCTCAAAATATTGGTAACATGGCAACTTGGCACTTCATTGCTGTCCAATATAATCATGACTGGGAGGAACTATCTCTAATTATTGATGATAGGTTTTATAAAACGGATTTTCCTACAAATAATTCAACTTCCTATACGACATCTGATGTTAAACTAGACATTGGTGGTTTTGAAGGAAACATTGCTTGTGTAACCATATTTAGTACACCATTGAGTGAAAACACAGCATCTGATCTGTTAAAACGAGAATGTAACAAAGAAAGGATCTTCACTGTACCTAGTATGTATCATTTAGAATTTCATTTAGTTTATTGAAACATTGATCTCTTTACAGAGTCTTTAAAACGAGATATATAAAAATCCTAACTCGAGATAAACACAGATCTTTAAGTTTAGATGTGTAACACTGATATTTTCTTTGTTTAACAATTGGTAAGATAATGTTAAGTTCATGACAAAGGTGATCTGTTCGACCATATGTTTATATGTTCTATTCTTTAGCTGCAGATGCTCCCGAGCCTGTACAAGGTGCAAGTGAACTGTTCCAAATTACCACTAACTTTTATATTTTCTATTCTTTAGTTGAAGATGCTCCGGAGCCTGTGAAATTGTGGCCACTCAGTAAAAAGACTATGGGTTTCGAAATGATCTCGGAACAACAACTGTCTACTCTTCCCAAAAAATTATGCTGGCGATTCAACCATAATGAACCTACAGATTTAATAGATTCTGAAGCTGTACAGTTTTATGGAGCTGATCAATTTTCTTTACAAATCGACTCAATCATTAGATCTGATATATTTGTTGTTGGTGTGTTTGTTGAGACCCGAAGAACTTCAGGAACTATCCTGAAAATAAATGTTGGCTCTGAAAGTGTTGATTTAACCACAAAACTTGGTAATGTAAGTCTGAAAGTAAATGATGTCACTTGTTTGGAGATTCCTTGGTCATATAACGATAAATGGACATCAGTCGTCCTCGAATTTAGAGCAGATGAATTAAAACTAAACGTTGAGGACACTGGAATACAACATAGTTGTGGAGTAAGGAATATTACAAAACCAGCTGCAATGTCACTGAAGCTGGGTGGAATCCCGGACAGCTTTTTAGGAGAAATGAGATGCCTGGAAATATTTAATGCAAGTATTATTGAAACAGGTTCAGCAAGATCAGTTTTGCAATTGGAATGTTCTAAAAGCAAAGATTTTACGCCAGGTATGTCAATGTCTTGTAACTGTAATGTTCCCCTCCTAACATACTCATTACGTCTATCATTATCAACAGTAGAATGAATTTAGCAGGTTTCTTTGGAAAGGAGTTATCAAAAGCTACGTCACAATAATTTGATCACCCACTAATCTATATTTCAATGAAAATTTAGTACTATTCGTGATGGTCGCTGGTATTCGGTAGTATGATTTAGTTTAAATGTCTACGAAATATACCAAGGTTAGCCTTATATATATCTACATATATCTTTATATCATTTATTTCTATGAAAATTTACTAATACGCTTCTTAGGTACTATCTGTGATGTTCTCTGGTACCAAGCGGTATTAGGTAGTATGACTTAGTTGGGAGGTACTAATTCTTTGAATGTCTGAAATGTACTAAGATAAGTATTATACTGATCCATAGTTTGTATCTTGTGTTTATTCAGGTCTTGATCCTGTTCCGTCTGTTACAGCGTTAAATGTATGGAGAATGGATAACGAAACAATATTAATAGATAAACAGATACATGGCATGGAATTGCTCAATTCCAACCAATCACTCTATTTTGATGGATCTAGTAGATTACATCTACTGATAAACGTGTCTATTCCGACGGATGAAATGAGTCTTGGATTCTTCTTTAGACCAATGGAATACAGCAAAGGGGTGGTATTACAGGACACATCTTCAGATTTCCACATTTCAATTGATGATCAGAGGTTGGTTATAAATACTAAATCATCTTGTGGTGCGGTCACCTTTACTGGTGTTACAGATGGTGATTGGCATTGGTTGATGATTAATAGAATCATCAGTTGTAAATCTTTGATATTTGTTCTAGACGGCGAAGTGAAATATGCTCATTCTAGCTGTTTTGAGACATCAGGATTGATGGAAGTACGTCTCGGTGGTGAAGAAAGGTCCTTTAATAATTTTAGAGGTGATCTAAGTTGTCTGGCCTTGTTTAATACTGCTGTAGATTGGGAGATTGGTAACGAGTCTATGATACAGTCGTGTAATAGTAACCTAAAGGATGGACGTAAGTATAGTGTATTTATTATAGTTTATAGATGTTGAAGTAAGTCATTCTTTTTTGTTTATCAATTAATTGGTGACGAACACGACTAATTTTTTAAAAAAAAAGCTCAAAAGAATTATCTTGTCCTGACCATGTCAATTAAGTTCAGATGTTTTCCTCTTTGTAATATGAGGGCTTAGTTTTACTATAGATCTATATTGATGGTAGTTAACTGTCAGGTACTGTATGGCTATTTACTATTTTAAACACGCAAAGCCTGGGAAAGTCGGCAAAGTGTGCATGAGATGGTCGTTTTCGGAACATAAACCTATATCGTAATTTGGTTTTGAAATTACCCTCTCTCCCAAAAACAACGGTAAAAACGAATTCTCAAACATACTCGAACATTGTTGTGTATTTCAGATTTTGTAATCGAAGGAGAGGAACTTTACCCCAACAGTAAATTTGACATGATTGCTACCGACTCCTTTCCCTCAGACCAGGATGGAATGATAAGTCAATCATATGTAAAGTCGTCGTTAGATTGTTCTAAAACCTGTTCAACAACCAGATCTTGTAGATCATATAGCTTAATTATTACTGAAACGTTCACAACATGTACCCTTTTCGATTTCATAACTCTAGGTGGTTTAAAAGTATCGGAAGGCTCAAAGTATTATGGCACACTTTAATGGAACACTGCTTTATGTAAGAGCTAACTACCAACATTCTCTTTCAGCATCTTTTTTCACATTTGTTTCCAGAAAAAAAAATATTGAAGGGAAACAACTGCAAAAAATCATCATAAATTCTTTATCTGGGTCCCTGCTTAAATAATTATGATAAAATTATTTTATAGTGTTAGAATAAGTATGATATTGTTAAAATAAATTTGGTCGGAAAATATTGTTAGGTGGTGATGAGAACATAGTCTTGTAAAAGCAAGTTGAAGGTTAAGATAATTAGATATGTTAACTAAGGATGTCTCTGTGATACTATCTGTGGTAGTATCATTTCTTTAACTGAAATAGTTGAAAATGTAAGAAACAACGTTCTTCTGATATATCAATAACTATCTAAAGGTAAATCCTGTATTGTGAAACAAAATGTACCTATAAGAAAATATGAAGCATTAATATATAGAGTCTTTATAGGAAATTCAGAATCAGAGAAATCAGATATTTGAAGGTTTTTGAGGTTTGTCTACCATGGACATGAGGATATTGGTCTTGAAGATTCTGGTAGTGGCGTCTGATGATATGAGAGGAATTAGTGGCAGTATGATTGTAGGTGGTAACGAAGGGTATTATCTGGTTGTCATGTTTGATATTTAGACCATTAGGATATACAGTTTGAAGTTGGTATTGTGTAAATTGGAAATCTGCCCTCATCCAAAATAGTCTGAATAATGTAGTAAATAAATGCACTCATAATACTATTGACTTGAATATGACGCTAAAGGTCTATACATTGATCTTTCTGAGGTCACATTACAGAGTTAAACTAAACATTACATTTGATCAGACATAAATGAAAATTTTCATCGAACTTTAATTCAGGAATTTCCAGACAATACTAGGAACTTATTTTTAAATATTAAAATCTTTGTTCTTTTGTGCTATTCCTTAAATAATAAATAAAATGACTAATCAATTCATTTAAAAAACATCACAAAAGTTTAACTATGTAATTAAACCTATAAGGCCTACAACATCTTTTTACATATTTCTTTCAATGTCGATTGTAAGAAAAATCAGATCTATTCTTCTTTCATATAGAATGTTGATCATTAAACTGAGTGCTAGACTTAGTCAACAGATAATTAAATTTTGTCACAATGAAATTATTTTGCGAAAATAATGCTTTGTAATTAAATGGTCGAACACAATAGGATCTGTAGGGCAGTTATACGTGTACATGTTTAAGTACAGAAGGTTCTAGTACAATAGATTACATAATGGTAAGCCCTAACAATCAATATCTCAAAATATGTTCTTGTAGCATGTGATATTTAATTAAGACAAAATATAAAGAAATGTGCTGTACCTGATTCAAAAGGTATGGTAAGGTACAGGTGAAACGATAAACTTAAAGAGAGCGTCGAGTCTTTGATAGGAGATACAGATTTTGCGAATGTTCTACAAAGTATTTATGATAGCCTGGACTCTAACTGCATAGACACTGCTGTTTCAAATCTCGCTTAATGTCCATTGGAGACAGGGCACCTATAAGGCAAGTGGAAAGTTTTGGGTATGCCAATCATTAAAATGATCGAAGTGTAAACTATTAAACAAATTTCGCTTAACAAACGCTACAGTTGACTTATATGACTATTTAGATTTAAAAACAGATTTAAATCTGAATGCAAGATAAAGAAAGGACTGTTAAACATGTCACTCTTAGAAAATTTGTGTAATGAAATGGATACGACAGCTTTTTGTTCTAGCATTAAAGTTTATATTATGAAAGAAACTGAGTCAGTGGGGAATATTGTGCTGAGATTTACTTAATCCATATGTTGAATCCTCAGATGCTGATTTTGATGACTTTGTTGAACACTTTTTAAACTGTAATCGAAGTGATGTTTATCAATGCTAAAGGGGTCCAGAATATGAGGAACTAAATTATTATAATTTACGCAGTGAAATCCTTTCAGCAATAAATGATTTGAAATCCGGTAAAGCTGCAGGTGAGGTTCTCATTCGTCCCGAGTTTTACAAACATGCACCCAACCAGATACCACCCTTACTCCATAAAGTGTTTAATTGTATTTTTAGCAGTTGTTTTTTCCGAAAGGATTGGTCGCACAGTAGTATCCACCCTCTTCATAAAAGGGCGACCGGAACAATCCAGGGAACTAATGGGGAATTTCATTAATAGATCGTGGAAACTATGAAGAATTCTCAACAAGCGTCTTGAAAAGCGGCCTGATGAGAAAAGTTTACTTGTTGAGGAAGAGGTAGAGTTGCGGTGTGGGTATTCGACTAATTATAACATTTTCGTAATAAATGCAATTATCCAAAATATCTTTTTTCAAAATCCAAAGGCAACGTTTACAATTCTTACCAATGAATTAACACTGATAACCAAGGCAGAGAGTGGCTCTGGAATCTTTATTGATTCTAGTATTGATGACGTGTTCTTGCTACTTTTTGCCTATGACTTATCCCTTCTTGCTGAAACGACTAGTGATTTGCAGAAACGGCTTGATATTCTTGACGACTACTGTACAAAATGGAACCTGAATGTTAGTGTTTAAAAATCTAAAATAGTCTTCAACAATGGAGGCATTCTATCAAGAAGAGAAAAGTGGCATTTTCAAAATAATTATATTGAAGTCGTTAATCAGCACACATATTTAGGCATTGAATTTTACAATCGACTCAAATAAGAGTTTATGTTGCTGAACATTGTCTTAACAAGCGACTAAAGCATTAAATGCCATCAAAATATGTATACCCAAACTTGGTAATAGAAATATTAAGATTAACCGTTCAAATTATTTGACTCCAAAGTTGCACCGATATTGTATTATGGGGCTGAAGTGTTACGAACTGAAATCTGAAAAGACATTTAACAATACATTTTGTATGTGGCTATTATGCACTGGCATGAAGACAACAAATGCTTTTGGCACGAGCTGAGCGTGAATGTAGAAGATTTGAATTATCCACAAACCAATCAAATATTTGTTAAAATTGCTCAAGATGCATTATACCAGACTACCAAAGTTGTGTTATAAAATGCTTTACAATCAGGACATAAATGGTCGAACAAATTGGTGCACATACGTACGCTATATTTTATTTAAGTATGGTTTTGGTCATGTTTGGATGAACCAAGGCGTTGTTGACACTGCAATATTTATAAATGGTTTTAAACAGCGTGTTAGAGACATTTATCAAGAATGTATATTTGATAGTAACCTTAAAACTAGTATATATTGTGAAACATATGTGAGCAAGCCAGCTTCGGTAGTCTTCGTACAGTAATAGACGAGATTAGAATGAACCAAAACTTTATTTAATGTGGGACAGAGAAAGCACTATCACCTTTCTCTTACGTTTTAACCCTGTCACTGATGCAGGCAGATCTGGCTATATTTCACCTACTCCCGAGCTGCCAACTCCCTACATGACATCAGGCCCATAGAACAACACCACAGCACCGGTGCAAACATGTTGTCTCTGTGCTCTGTCTGTAACTGACCAGAATAGGTTAAATCATGTAACCTGACATCCTACTAAGCATGCATATTGAACACTTGCTGAACTAAATATAGATATGAAGAAATACGTCAACGACATCGACAGGATGTTGTTACAATAATGCTAAAATAGTGTTGCCGACGAATTTTCAAGAGACAGGGTTTATCGGTTAGCCATATTCAAACAATACTCTTTCGTTTAAACAACGATTTGACAAATTTTATAAGTTCAACACATAGCCTTGAGGTAGAATAAGGTCGTCAAAATAAAGTCCCTGCTAGAACGTATTTGTAAAATATGTAACACAAAGCAAATAGGTGATGAAGTCCCTTTTATGATAATTTGTCCAATCTTGAGAGATCTGAGGCAAAATTTCTTCAATCAAGATTGCTTAAAACTTAGACTGAAAGTAATCTAATTTTATTATTTAATTCGGATGATCTTAATGCAGTTTGGAACTTATCTAATTATATAAATTATTAATCAGTAAATGTATTTTTATTGTCAGCTTTACATTGTTAATCAATTTCATATAAATAACATTTTTTATAATATATATATTATTGTTTACATTGAAAATCATATCAATTTATGTATACAACACAATTTTTTTTTAAATATTTTTACTTACTTTCAAACACTGTACAATATTATTTGTATTAGAACTGTAGGCCTGTGCCTCATAGTTATAAATAAGATTATTTGTTTGTTTGTTTTTTGTAAAGAATTTCAAGCCAAATACCATTCACAATGCTTTAAACTGTAAATCAAACATCGACGGAGGCAAAGAAAATTTTTAAATTGTGACCTTGACATTCTAAAGTATATCTGAATGTAATGATTATTTCGGTAATAAATCTAAATGGCTATTTCAACAAAAAAGTTGTGTATCAGCCCCCACCGTCCACCTCAGAATTATATATTATCCTTCTTGCTGGTGGTGACCCCGTATGCAGGTCCAAACTGCTGCATGATTTTATCATTGCCATTTGATTAATAACTATTAAGACAAGCCAGCCAACAGATGGTCTTTGTGGGTGTGCATCCTATTCTGGTTTTGTATGACTGCACGCAATCAGCTCATATAGCTATGGTTTTTATAGTGTTTGATGTGTATGTTAAGCAGCTATTACGGTGTGGTGCCAGGCAGGGTACGTTCCCCTTCTGTACACCTGATAATACTTATGGTTGATATACTTCCTCATTTGGAAAGTACATTAGCTGCTATCAATGTTTCGCCCACTGGACACCTGATAATACTTATGGTTGATACACTTCCTCATGTGGAAAGTTCATTAGCTGCTATCAATGTTTCGCCCACTGGACACCTGATAATACTTATGGTTGATACACTTCCTCATGTGGAAAGTACATTAGCTGCTATCAATGTTTCGCCCACTGGACACCTGATAATACTTATGGTAAATACACTTCCTCATGTGGAAAGTACATTAGCTGCTATCAATGTTTCGCCCACTGGACACCTTATAATACTTATGGTTGATACTTGTTTTATTTATAGGGCGATTACAGTAGTATTCTGACTCGTATTCTAATACTGGCTATTGGGCAACACAGAAGTTTGCTAGGTAGGTTACAAACTTTAGTACCATTGGCATAATGTGCATCACCTCATCACCTATTGAACTGGTTTACTCTCAGACAGTTAGACTCGGTACTTTAGGCACACTTCTTTTAGGTACATCTTCAATTAGGCACATATTCATTTAGGCACACCTATATTAGGCACAATGTCAATAAGGCACACCTGACCAGTGGCGGGGGATTGGGGAATGCCCCTTAAAGTGGAATAAGGGGAAAAGGTCGGTCATCATGGTAAGATGATGTAGGAAGAAAGCTTTTGAAAAACATAAATGGGATTTGTGCATAGACTTAAAATCTTGAATTTTATGCAATTTGAATACTATGTAACAGCGATACCACCTAGGAAGAAGTTCCATCTATGTATTTCTAAGGCTATCTTTCTCTATCTTGTGACCTTCCTTCATTTTCATTGTGGCTCTATATTATTGACTTTTTTTCTTTTATTTGTTGCTTTTATTCCCTCACCCCTTGCCTAATAAATTGGCATTGTCCAATATTAGTATGCTCAAAAAGAGTGTGCTTTAATGAATATATGCCTAATTGAAGACGTGCCTAAATTACATTGTGCTAAAAAAAACTGTGTGCTTAAGTGAATATGTGATTAATTGAAGGTGTGCCAAAATCACTGTGCCTGTATAACACTGTGCCTATATGAACATGTGCCTAAAAGGAGTGTGTCTAAAGTACTGTGTCTAACTGACTTGTGCTTAAAATATTTGTGCCCAATTGAATGTTTACCGATCAAATATGCAACGATTATCAATAATCCATTTATATCTGCTCTCTCACCCAGTGTATCGAAGGCACTTGTTCGACTGAACTATAGATTAGGGTGGTTGAAAGGTAAATTACTATTTCTATTCAACAGAAAACACTAGCACAGTGTTAAATTGGTATTAGATCATTCAGTTTTAACGTATTTCCAGACTATGTATGGAACACAAAAGAAATATTTGAATTTTGAAACATTTGACGCTACAGTTACGTGTACAATAAGACAATGATTACATTTGATAATAAGAATAATACTAGAGCCACTCGTGGCACAGAGTGGGACTTTGCAAATGTAGCAAATTGCAAAAGACCCCGAAAAAATCATCCATCCACGATAATTAGATCAAGCGCAAGAACAGTCTAAAGTTGAGAAATTTTCATTTTTTAGAAGATTCTAATACCGGAAGTAGACGTCAGACCTCACAAATGAAAGTATCGGCAGATAGCCAAGGTCAATGACCTTTGATCTTGTAAAAGAGAAAGTCTAAAAAGGTCAAGATCAAGAGATATACGTCATCAAAATTTCTAATTGCACACGACTATAAAACCGGAAGTTAACATAGGACAGCAAATATGAAAGTACAAATAGATAGCCAATGCCAATGACGTTTGATCCTACAAAGGTCAAGGTCAACAAAGGTCAAGGTCAAAAATTGAAAATTTTCAATTTCCAAAACCTGTTCCTTTTTTTGAACTAAGAAGCGGAAACAACCGAAATTCTAAGACAAAGTGGCTCACAATATGAGGTAATTGTATGCAAAGTTCCATTTTGAACAAACGTATACTTTGCGAGTTATGCTCCTGGCCAAAAATATTAATAATGAGTAATATAACCCAAATGTGCCACGCCCACCTTAATTTTTTTGCATAGGGTAATTGATATTCCAAATGTTACGTTGTGTTTTAAATTTCAAGCTTCTACATTATGTGTCACGCCCACCCCAATTTTTTTGTCATAGGTGAATTCATATTCAAAGTGTCTAGTTGTATTCCAAATATCAAGGTTCTACATAGAATAGGTCATAAGATATACATACGCGAAGATCAAAAAGACACAAATATGGTAAAACTAAACTCAAATTTGAAAAAATCACGAAATTCAATTTTGCTTTAAAAAAGCAATTGTTCTATATCTATGTAAAGTGCACGAGAAGCACATTAGAAAACCGAAAAAATTAACCCTCTAGGTTAATTAGGTCACGTGCTAGAGCAGTCCAAAGTTGCGAATTTGGCTTTTTACGGATAGCTATAAAACCGGAAGTACATGTCGGAGGTCAAAGGTCAAAGTATCAAATGATAGCCAAGGTCAATGAACTTTACATACGCGAAGATCAAAAAGACACAAATATGGTAAAACTAAACTCAAATTTGAAAAAATCACGAAATTCAATTTTGCTTTAAAAAAGCAATTGTTCTATATCTATGTAAAGTGCACGAGAAGCACATTAGAAAACCGAAAAAATTAACCCTCTAGGTTAATTAGGTCACGTGCTAGAGCAGTCCAAAGTTGCGAATTTGGCTTTTTACGGATAGCTATAAAACCGCAAGTACATGTCGGAGGTCAAAGGTCAAAGTATCAAATGATAGCCAAGGTCAATGAACTTTGACCCTATGAAGGTCAAGGTCATCAAAGGTCAAGGTCACATGGTGTGATCGTTTAAAGCATGAAAAAATTTCAACCGGAAGTAGCAAAAAAGCAAAAGCTAAATTCAAAATTCGGCTCCCAATGTTTTTTGCGCAATCGATTGCGGAATACATTCACATCAAATTTGAGCATATCAACATTTACCCTGAGGCCCCATTTTGAGTTTTACAAAAGTGTGTTTTTTCAATATGGCGGCCAAAGTATCACTTCCGGTCTGGATTTTATTTTCTTCGTTTTTTTGTAATAGCATTTACTTACGATCAGCATAAATTTCATTGACCTATTTCAATTACACCGGAAGTTATTCGACCGGAAGTGGATTGTACTTTCAATTGATTCCCCGTTTAAAATCGGAAGTAAAGTTAAATATTTGACAACTACATATTATTTGCTTTAGTGATGTCCCTTTGCATATTAAATTTCAGATCAATCGATGCAAAAGCAAAAAAGTTGCAAAAAAATTGAAAAATTTGATCGAAAAAAGTGAGCGACGAATTTTCGAATTTCGTAATTTTTCAAGTGCTATCAGGTCAGAAATTACAGGTAGATTATAAAAATGAAAACCCGAAAAAAATCGATGCAAAAATACGCCTTCTAGAGCCGATTTTCGACTTTTTGCACATGTTGAACTGTGGCACTTCCGGTTTTGCAAAAATGTTCCAATTTATATTTATGCACATCGTCGCCTATATAGAAGGTCTATGAAATTTGAAACGTAGCTGCAACTACTGCAGTCTAAGCACAGGAAGGTGTGGACGAAAAGAAAAAAAAAAAAAAAAAAAAAGAATTGACATTTCGATAACAAAAAAACCGAAAGTACAAAAATGACAATATTTTACTTACTGACTATTCTGGCAAAAGCGAAAATATTAAACATATTACTGACGCACAAATATTTACATTACCAGATATATATTCGGAAACAATTTATACTTAAAAATGGATAATGTTAAACTGTATATTATACCCCATTGAGCCTTTTGAACGAGACCCAACGTTACATTGTTTGTTTACGAAAAATACAGCATGGCGAATAAGGGAGATTTGTTATTATGACACACTTAAAATGAAAGAATTACTGCATTCTTTCTGAATATAAGACACAATACCTTCTTAATTATCGCAATGAAATATTCTATAATATATGTGTACAGTTATATAAACTATCATAACGTGGGATAGGTGAACTGGCACAGAAACGCGTAAATGCAAGTACGGAGATAAAGCCTCCCCATGTTAACCCTGTATTCGAGTGATTCACCAAGATAACAATGACCATCGTTACAGGTACCACCGGACCATCTAGGATATGGTATATCTTTGTTAAACGATTGCATAATAATTTCATCATTTGACACATCTGCTTACATTATTGATTTATTAGGTTTTTTTTTATTCTAAATCAATAAAAGAAGCATTTTACCTACTAGTATTAGTATTTACCTTCTACCAAATTACTTCGAAAATATTACACAGGAAGCAACATTACTTGCAGGATTACTAATAAATGACGAAATGTGGAGAGTGTATAGAAAAATTATTTGCATTCTCATCTGTGTGCTTGTTTTTCCATTTATTTTCCAAAAAATATATTTGAACCTGGTCGAAAAACAACATAACGTCGCAAGAAGTCAATCTACAGCGGCAATGTTTCTTGCAGTCTCTGGTTATACTAAACGGACCAATTCAATTCAGTCAAGAGCATCAATATTTCATTGCAGTCCTCTTGGCTGGGAACAGTGGGACGGATTTTGTAGTGGAAATGTGTCTTTTGAAAAGGCTGTCTTGAATACCCCGGAAGGACTTGTACCTATTTTTATACACAATGTTTGGCATGATAGGTGGGTTTCGTATTTTATCAAAGAGAAAGGAGTATGGGAAGCAGAGCTCGTGAATCTGATTCATCATTTTCTTTCTCTGGATGAAGATCTGAATTTAATTGACATTGGCTCACATATTGGTGAATTTTCATTACTGGCAGCGAAATTAGGACGTCAAGCTATAGCTGTAGATCCTTTGTATGAAAATGTCCAGAGACTGTGTAAATCCATTGAAGTCAATAACTTTAGTCATTTAGTTAAGGTCTTTTATACAGCTTTATCCGATAGCAGAAGCAGAGTCTCATTTATACGTCATTCTGGAAATGTTGGCGGAACTTCTATCAAGGGGATGGATAGTTTTGGGATGAGTCTTAACACGACCATTTCAAGTGAGGTCAAAGTTATTTCTCCACCCTCGCTTACTCTAAATGATAAAAATACAGCAACTACAGTTTTACTTGATGATCTTTTACCATTCGTTGCATTCAAGAAAGCTTTCATAAAAATGGACGTGGAGGGACACGAAAACTACGTGTTAAATGGTGGAGAACAATTCTTTAGCGCAATAGATGTAAGATATGTTTTGATGGAATGGACTGCTCACAACAAAGATTCCAGGTCGGGAAGACAAATTGTTGCGTTTTTGAGAAGACATGGATTTTCGCCTTCCAAGCCTACTATATTAAAGAAAACATTCAAAGAAAATGAAGGAAATAACAATATATTTTGGATAAAAGAATAAAATATTATGGTTGATTTGTGATCAGGAATTAAACTTGACTATGCGAGTTATCTGTTTCGGGAAAAACATCAAAACGGATTTTACATGGGTCAGTCCAGAATTATGTCCAATACACTACGACATGGCCTTAAGTGGGGTTTATGCAGGATATACGGGAAAGTAACAGCACCGGGATAGTCTAATCGCTTAATGGATTTACATGTAGATGATCTGAGTAATAGCACCGCTGACAATAACCCCCTAATTATAACCAGGTCATGTCTTACTTTGGGCGTGAAGCTCATGCCCACTGCCTAACGCATCGCTCCGTTACAAATTCATCTGGGACACTATCATATTATGGGGTCATTAATACCTTTAGATTCAACGAACTTAGCCTTTTCACTTTCTATTTTCCTGTACGAATTGGACTAAGAAAGACAAGCAACGTCATTCATGTACAATAACGGTCTATCCCTTTTTTCAAGATACTCGAACGTGTGCAAATATATGAAAGTGAAATTGTACTATCCTGATATAAAAGAAACATTTTATTTTTTTCTTCGGTTTTCTAAATATATTTTTAAAAAAATAAAATATTGGTTTGTCATCCTAGCTAAGTGTACATAAGAAGGACGGAGACAGTACGACATTCACTCATTTCAAGTATACTGGAAGGCGAAAGAAACGTGACGTGGATGTTTAATATATTTCTTTATTTTCGAATGCTTATATATGCAAAAAGGCATTGAAGAAAGTCGGTGTTTGACATTCATCAAAATTCACAGTAGAAACAATGTTTTTGAAAATTGTGAGCTTTGAGAGGCACCAGAAGACATCACAGCTGGGCGTCCAAAATCAATACCTGGTGTGACCGCCATGGGCGGCGACTACAGCATAATCTTTCAGTATAATGGAGTGGGCTAGCCGATTGATGGAAGCCATTGGTATCTAGGCCCATATCCTCAGGAACGTTACACGCAGTTCTTCTGCAGTTGTCGGCATTGGGCGCACTTAATTGAGAAGGCGTTGGATCTCATTCCACGAGTGTTCAATTGGATTCAAAGCCGGACTGAGAGCAGGCTAAGGCATGAATTGAATGTTGTGCTGCTGGAGGAAGTCTCTGATGACTCTGGCAGTGTGGGGTCGGGCGTCGTTCTGCAGTAAGGCGTGGTGTCGGTGACGGGCAAAAAAATACCAAGATGTGGGGTCAGAGGACTTAGTCAATGTAGCGGAGAGCTGTGATTCCAGTACCCCTGCCTGGACCAATATTCTGAAACACCACAGGCCCCACTGGTTCAGTCCAATTCCACCCCAAACCATGATTCTTGGACCACCCCACGAGTCCCGTTCTATGACACAGTCAGTATATCAGTATAATGTTCGCCCTTCCTCCGCCAGACCCCGACTCTGCCACCACTGTGGAAACACAGTAACGACTTTATCGGTGAAGATGATTCTTCTCCATTCCTGTTGACGCCTATTCTGATGCCGTCTAGCCCATTGCAATCGGGCCTGTCGGTGATGATCTCTCAGGATGGATCCACGAGCCGGACGGTGGCAGGATAGTTTGTCAGCAGTGAGACGACGTCAGATGACTGATGGCACGTTGGTGGTTTCCAATGTTTCAGTTTCAGTGGCCATTCGGAATCGGTTTTGCAGATGTTGCCGTATCATCTACCGATCTTGTCTGTGTGTGGTAACTCTTGGACGAACACTACGCGTGCGGTCGTTGGTAATGTTGCAAACAATATATCGTTCTGACATTGAATGTATTTGCAACGACCTGTGAACTTTGTCCTGCTTGCAGTCTTCTGATAGCTTGTTGTTTCTCTTTTCCTGATATTCTTGGCATGGCTGGTAAATCTAAATGACAAATGTAAGCATGACGGTCTTGATTGTCTTTTAGTTTTATACCCATATATCCACGATATTCACGTGCATCGTGATTTTGACGAGACGTTTCAGCAACTGTGTCTCATTTCACTTTTGCAGACTGCGTTTGGGCAAACCACTCCATTTTAAACACAAATGTAACCTGAACTTTAAGGAAACAAAAAGGACCAGTAGAATGTTAAATCTAAATTAGTGGACTAAAGAACACGGCAGAGTCAGTTAATTTTTTCCAGTATTTTTAGTTTTGACGCTTCTTTTGCCTGTTAGTATATAAACTTAAATAAACAGGTCATGTGCATAACTAAACTGTCTACTATTTACAATACTCTATGTAATCTGATGGGTTAGTAAGCTAATAAATGAGCCTAGAAACACTGGTATTTTATCATCCAAGTCCACCTTTGATAGTTCATATTTCTATAAAACCGACATAACTTTAAAAATTTGGAGGTGTTCACAATGAAATATATAATATCAATTTTCTTGCTTTTTGGTAAGTAAACATGGTTTTTATCCATTTTCTTGTGCATAGCCAACATGTACCGTCAGAATTTACCCATTCTATTATTTCAAAATAATTTAATAAGTGTCACCAAGTGTTAACCAACTAATAATATAATAGGTTCATGTGTTATCCATAAACTAAAAATGTTTGATCGCAAATTCCATTGTACAAAGTGCTTCTGTTGGAGATTGAGGAAGTGACTAAATATCATTGTTTTTCCTGTTATCTAAACTCATTATGATTCCAGTGATTGGCTTAGCTGTGAGTCACGAACTGAAGACAGAAAAGAAAGATATCAATCATGCCAAGGATGCTCAGCTAACGAAGGACGTAGCAATTAAACTACCAGAGGAAAAATCCAATATTGCCGCCAAAGTCGAAACTTTGCCAGTTCATAAACTGAGGCTTTTGAAGAAACGAAGTCCTGGAAAGCGAAGTAGGGAACGTTATGGTTACTACTACGGCGGCCGTTCAAGAGGTGGTCACTCAAGAGGTGGACGATCAAGGGGTGGTCACTCAAGACATCGTGGCCACTCACATGGCGGACATTCACGACGCGGAGGTCGCTCTCGACATAGCGGTAGCTCTAGTGGAGGTCGATCTAGTTATGGTGGAAGGTCGTATGGATCATATTATGGTAACAGTCGTTATAATTATGGTCAAAGTGGTCGCTCTCAAGGAGGATATGTTCCCTATCGCGGCTCGGGATATCCCAACTACGGCAGCAGATACATTGGAGTCATAAGATACGGTAGCAGACCAATTGGTACAAATTCAATTTCAGGAAATCAAAGTCCTATCAGTGGAAATTGCAACTGTCCCTTCAGCCAAAACAATGAACCGTCTGTAGAGAGCGATGGTGAGTATATTAATTGATTAATGCACAAATTCTCTGATTCTAAAGATGTATGGATATCAAAATTTACCGCAATGTTACAATAGCAGAAACTATATTTAAAAAAACACTCATGGTAATTTTCCAAAACGGTCTATAAATGAAGGTTGTATCTTAAAAAGAGAATCAAGTCGAAAAAGCACCAGAACTATTTTCATGGCAATTTTATATCTTTTTTGAGGATTAGCAAATTGCCAATACAAGTACTCCATTATCTTGGGTAATCTGACCTGTATGTGAAACCACGTGATGTTATTGTAAAGGCGATAATGAGAACTGTTAAATATATTAAAAATTCGGAAGGGAAACCATATTGATAGTGATTGCTAACTAAACTTGGTCGCGTTAGCAGGATTTACTGTATTTCTGTGTAGATAGACATTCAATATAATTTTCTTATTGTAGAGTATGATTTTGATTATCTGAGGCAGTGGCAAAGAGCTTTTTCATCGCATCCATGTTGTCGTCAGAGATGGGAAGTGTATTGGTCAAATTCCCAAAGAAAATAATCAAGATTACCAATAAATAGTAAATACACTATATCAAACATGAAGTAACTGAAGAATTTATAGACTCTATACTAATATTAATTTTTACTATCATATTAATATTCACAATTCTCCAATATCGACCAATGCTGCATAGCACCTGTGTTTCTAGGATTGAATAATTAAATAATAATTTACCTTACGTTAACTAAAAATAATAAATCCTATTAAATATTTAATCGAAATGACTATTTGGATATTAAATTCTTGCATTAAACTTATTTTTTTTCTGTTCTTACTGTTACCAATATACTATAACTCTCTTATGTCCACGATAATTAAAATACCATAATTGTCATAAACATCATCTATATCCGACAGAAAAAATGAGTGTTGTCATGGAAACAAACAGTATATAGGAATATGTACAAGTAAGCTATATTATCCGATGTTAGAGACGAATAAGAAAGGAAGACAACATGGCACAGAGTACATCGGAAAAAAGACCTGTTAAAAAATCGGAGCGTTCTTCGCCTCTCACAGACAAGATCCGTGCTCGATTATCTTGCGACAATTTAACCCTGATATGGAGGCCAATAGGACATTATCAGGAACTTGCCAAAAGGAGGTGCCAAAGAATTTTCGCTAAACCAGGAAAGGAATACGATTTAGCGTTGTTTTATCATGAAATGACATTTTACGTGATGAGTGCTTGGTGTACACATATGGGTATGTATTTTTATTTTCTAACGTGGAAATCGCTCAGAGTTTGAGAAACCTTTATTAGGTTTTCAGTATCTAATGTCGATTAGCAACATTCTCACATGGCCGGACCTACAACTTCAGCAAATAACGATATGTTTTTATAGAAGTCGTTTCTCTCTCAATACGAAAGATTTTGAAGCATTTGCAATTTTTACTTAGATATTAATATATTCTTGATACTATACATGTAATTCATTATTAGGCATAAAACTATAATGGTTCACAATATAAAAAAACACTAGCTACATTGACTCTGGAAGGTGTATCGGCTGGCGAAACCTCGTCATTGTTGTAGTGGATTAAAACCCACGGCCACCATTTGTTGATAACCTTTTTTGAGCATTGACTTTTACCTCACGAAAAGAAGCTTGCTTTTGCAATGTGCTGGGTTATAAATAAAGGAATAATTCGGATTAGCCTTCGGACGTCTGTGGCTTCTATTTCTCTAAGAGACGGTACCAGATTAAGCCTTTACTGCATCACCATAAAAGCTCTTATTCTGGTCCAGGTTAGTCTACAAACAGAAGAACCTTGTTTGAGTTAGATTCCTAAAATGCTCCTGATAATTTTGGTTGAAGACACCCGCAAAATATTAGGGAATCAGAATTTAAGTGCTTCGGTGTATTTGTAACTCTTTCTGATATAGCTACATCAATGTATATTTATATATAGCATTTTAAAAACCTGATATTTCATGTTTAGCACCAGCACTGAAAAACCTGGCATGTATTGACTAAAGAGATACAGAGACAATGATTAATAGCAAAAATCTATTGATTTAGAAAGAAAACGGAAAAATTAACCTAATGGATGTTTTGTTCCAATAATGACATATTATCTATCATTAGTACTTATATTACAGATGTGATAATTAGATCTTATATAATGGACGAGAATTAGATAAGGATGGAAAATGTCGAACAATAGCACACAACATTCATTAGAGAGGAAATTACATGCTTAATTCTTTATTTTGTCAGCTTGACGTGATTCGTTTATTGTGAAAAGTAGATTATATGATTGATCCATGACTTTACAAAGCATTTGATAATACTCTACCAATAAAACTGACGATTCAGCCTCACTAAGTAACCAATTTATGACTTCCGGTATATGTGATAATATGGTTCCACATAGGGTTAATAGGTTCAGGGAATAATATAATAGTACCACTAAAGTAGTAAGAAACAATAGTCAAGATTGAGTCGAGAATTATAAAGCTTCCACAAAGGCCATTATTAATCTTATTTCTTGTGAGTGTACGAAATGACGACAACAGCGACCAGTTAATCATTATTCTAAGATTAATTGATAACACGGTCTTATGAAAGGTTAAGGCATAAGGTATGAAACTGTATCAGCTTCACATTACTAATACGTGAAGGATTCAACAGCATATTTTAAGCCGGTGAGATCATTGAGAGCTTGATCAAGTCCACTGGCGAATAAGTATGTTGTCGGGTCCGTCGACTCGATGGTCGCATATTCCGAACCAGAGAGGACGTAAGTATCTCGTGGAAACTTAATTACGAGTTTCAGCTGTCGGTACTCTCAGTCGACTTGGGAATTAGTATGTTCTCGGATCTGCCGATAGGATATCAAGCGACTGTTAACACTGGACTCGATGGTGGAATATTTCGAAACGAGCAAACAATGGCAACTAAACTACGAATTTAAGTTGTACGTTCAGGCCGATTAAATCCAGATTTAAATGCCGTCAGTTGCTGTCACATTAAGCCAGTAGCAAGGTCGTATTTACCGGTATAAGGCGGGGATGTTCACTAAATCTGTCGAACCATGCTAAACAACACGAAAATGGCTGAAAAACAGATCTAGGAATGTTTCCAGACTTCACAGGTTTTTTTTCTGTGAAGAGTCTTGATTTAGAAAAACCCGCATAAAAAATCCTAAAGGGGTAATTTGAGGAAAATGGATAATTTTATAATTCATTTACATCATCATAAAATCCACAGGCATAGGAATACGAGATATAGAGTAAAATATCTTCAAGATAGGGTATATAAAACCAGCAGCTTCTGCTGGAAGCGTTCGTTACTTTGTCATCCACCACAACTGCTTTCAACCGGAAAAGAACATTCTTATGTAGGATTTTGGTAGTAACAATATTAATGACCATATATTTTCCCTTAACAGATATGTAACTATTCAATTTGGAGGAAGAAATGGTAAACATTCAGTAAGATCGGTCCGGTTGAACTATAATTGCAGATTACTCTCTTGAAGATTTTATACCTTATAAAGACATGGCCTATTATCAGCTGAAATGATTCGAATTCGTCCTTAAACCTACAAGTCCCCAAAGTTCGTATCTTATCTATATCTTGGCCTTCATGCCTCAGTTTTAATTATACGCCATTTGTCACCTTTAATATTTATAATGTTTAGTACGAATTGCTGATGTAATGAATTTTGTGACCAATCATTTTTGTTTCAGGGGGACCTTTATACGAGGGAGAGATAGAAGATTATAAAGGTAGCTGTCATGTTATGTGCCCCTGGCATGCATTCATGTTCGATCTCAAAACCGGCACAAACGATATTGGTTTAAAGGTAAGATATGTGTTTCTTGTTAACTATAAGTTATTCCCCTTTAATAAACTTCATTTCTATATTTCTCTTGTTTGTGGTGGCTCAGGGGGGTAACCGCTTTCTATCTCCTGTCAGGTCGGAGGTGCTTGTATGGACAATGGTGTTTAGAGTTTCGTATCTTTAAAGTTCCCACGACAATAATTGGAAGTCGAAAAAGATGAAGATAATTCATTATCCGTCTTGATTGGCCCAACCAGGTACAGAAAAGATGATGAAAAAGAGGAAGCGCCATGGGCACAAGGCTCCCATGGAGCGTCTGAGAGGGTTCTTCAAGAATTATTTTGTATAAAATATGTTATACATGAAGTGTGAGTGCAAACCATTTTTCGAAAGGGGCAAATGCCACTTCCTCGTCCTGTACCCACACTGGCGACCAACGGAGTACAATAACTGAACAAGAAAATCAGAAAAATCGAAAAATATTTAGTATCAGTTATTGCCCATGTTCTTGACAACGTGTCACATTTTGAGCTCATAAACATTCTAGGAGGTTCAATTCTTGACAGATTTTGACGAAACTTGGTGAAATTGTTTATTATCACCCATGGATGAAGCCTATCGAAAATCAAAAATATCGAAATATGTTTCATAGGAGTTATTGATCTCATTCTTGACAACGCTTAGAAATTTTAGCTCTTAAACACTAAAGGCATGATTCTTGCCGGATTTTGACAAAACTTGGTTTTATTATTCAGTACCGCGCTGAAGTTTGAATATTTGCCTTCTAGAGTTTTCACGCGCTAAAAATTAAACCCCTTTCAAGAACAAGGGCAATAACTCATACTCAATATTATTCAGTATCGCCCTAAAGAGTTCAAAAGAAATGTATAACTGAAGATTGAATATTTCATACTGGTGATTGTATATGGGCGGATATTACCTTGCCTGGCAAGCTATCTTTATTTATGAAATCCAAAAGATCCTATTTACCTTCAACAATCTTTTGATTGTGATTGTTTGTTCTTCATAAAAGGAACTTTGTTATTATCCTATGAAACATTTGATCACGACTTTGACAATGTTTAAGCAATGTTGATAATAATTTTTTTTTTAATGTATCCCTCGTGACTCTAGGTTATGGTTACTATAATGTAACCAGGGCTATGTCAATGACTTTTTAAGCAGTGTCAATCACCACTTGAAACCGATTCAAAGTTTATCTCCAGCCGAGTACTGTTTAATTTCAACATTTCAACTTTTGATTTCAGCAAGAAGTGTATCCAGTTAAAATAGAAGAAGGAACAGTCTATGTGATGTATAAGTACGATTTAGCACTCCATCCATTTATTTAGTTACCTATGCAATATTATTACAATTCAAAAGAGGCTGTTAAATGTTGAACTATAGTGATAGCAAACTACAACAAAAGTATGAAATCGTATTTGTGTATGGAAACGAATGTCCAGTTTGTCTTGCATGTACTAAATTTATTATATTGTTGGTACGCCATTATCGGATTGATGTGTCATTGAGCACCAAAACATGTGGAAACAAAAACACGGTTATCATTCTCCCTCTTTTTACATTAATGAAAAAACCAACGAGTTCATAATATTATCAAATAAATCTGTGTTCAAAATTAAAATGAATTTTAACACCGTTCATGTTCTCTTGATAACAGTGCAAACTTTCTTTAAGAAATAGTCGACTAACTAGTCCTGAGAAATGTATGATATTCCTTGCCTTAATAATATTTACAGTATTTAGTATAGTGTCAACTAGACTTTAAGGGAAGCAACTTCGAAGAAAGAAATAAAACCTTGTTGTTGGTTTAAATAAAATTAGTTGTTATGTATGTTGATATTTGAATAAAAATAAGGAAAACTGAAGAAAAATATAAGAACGACAAAATAATGTTTTTTCAATACTGGTAATCATGCAGAACTCTAGGGGTGGTGTTCGCTATCGTAATACTCAGGAAACGCTGTTAAAATTATGGAATGGTGGAACAATAAACTAATATCTAATGCGCGAAGGTTAGTTTATAACACTGGAAATTCAGAACTGCCTCCCACACAAGTCCCTGACCAAACTACGACATAATGCTGATTAACCCAACATTGATTTCAAAACCAAAATTTGAAGAGATATTATTTATTCCTGATACAAAAACAATTACAAAACTAATTGAACGGTGAGGCTGCAACAGAAGTAATAAAAAATATATACAAACATGATAAATTAATCAAAACAAAAACAAAAACCCACTTTCCGCTTCGGCTATTTTTCAATACCAAATGTAGTCTATCATTTAAGGAATCTTTATCAATTCGTCCATGGAAAATGAAACATTTGAATGTAGCAATGGAAGTAGTGTTACCCACAAGCCCTTATCAGTTCTCCGTCCAGTTCTCTATTATAGACGAGACGAAGGAGTGACAAGGAAACGTGTTACGTATGTCTTAGTCTTACATCAACGTGCACAGTCTTGTACTTATAAGTCAGACAGACCATCCCGAGATAGTCATCATTAACCACAAGAGCTATTCTTGCCGATACATGTGTCGCAGGCAACTGTAAATCATCGGACAGTACATTAAGTCATCACTCTCAGAACGAACGTCATTTAGGTATTTAATTAATATACATGCTGTATCTGAAAGACACTTGTGAGTCTATAACCTGATAAATTAAGCTGAAATCTCACCCACAAGCCCTTATCAGTTCTCCGTCCAGTTCTTTATATTAGACGAGACGAACAAGTGACAAGGAAACGTGAAAGATATTAAATTGGCATAAAGTTTCTCATAATTTATCATTCTCAATGATAGTAAATGTTGAATTGAACAACACTGCAGTAACTGTAACATGATCTTCACTTGAAAAATATAATGGTGGTCATCATCAAAAGGGAAGTAACTCCATTTCTTAGGCTGAACACAAATATAGTCCTGAAAGATAAAAATACTTTTGTACAAGGTATAATAAAAGACGAACCCAAAACCGTTCACAGTTTAGTGCCTATGTCCAAAGATAAATGCATTTTTTTTAAAACTATTTTGAATGTTACAAAATAAGGAATAACAATGGAAAGGCATGGAGACAATTTAGAAATGGCTAGGTTCTTTTGGTGGGTACATGCAAACTATACCACAATTTAGATTTGCTTATGTTGATAACAGACACTCGATATATAATGTCACATTTTCATGCAACTACATGCATCAAAAAATGTTTCTTATAATTGAATTTTGGTTTGCTATGCCATTCAAAGAGCAAATGACAGTCAAAATCCTTCAGTCCTTCAATCAAGAATAAGCATGCATTTCACAACACCAACACCACACATCATGTCATAAATAAGTCATTCGACTTCTTTTATTTACGTGACAAACATGCAAACTTTTCATATTCATGCAGCATTCACACAAACATACTTGTCACAACACACATGCTTCATGCAGACACAAACGGACACACGTCTGACAACATTCAGACATCTTTCAAACACAATAATATGGACGAAGAAATGATAAGGGTCTGTAACGTAGCCGTGGAGCAGCCCTGAAATACAAAACAAAATTGGTTTTAGTTGTGTTAAGAGAAATTCTGTTTTCTTATTAGAAGGTTGGCGGTCAAAACGGTGTCGACTGTGGCCATGGATTGCAAATTCGACTTGCTTTGACAAAGTACCATCGTATGACATAGAATAGAAACTTGAAGTAAAAATTCAACTCTCTATAAATTGATTTACCGTAGTGTCATTTTAAAAATTCTGTTGTAAACGTCGATCAACTGAATAGATTTTGAAAATAAAAACAACTACTTACCCTCGAGGTAAATCCTTTAAGCTGTAGAATATGCTGATTCAAGAAATCTCCAGTAACTAAATAACTTCACCAAATACCTGTAATTTCAACAATAATAATATTCAACGTAGAATAAGAATAACAGTACTGTCCACTTTATGAAAATTACAAGTATTTATGCGTGCCTGCATGTTTTCATCGGAGTGTTATGTTTTGCGACCACCTTTAGAAACTGGAAGTAATCGGAGGTACGTTTGATAGGAAATTGCAGTCGCCTGAGGAAATGGGACAAAACGTTCCTCAAAATCTTTTAAACAATTTCCTTATTTTCTTTTTTCATCAAATAGAAACAATTCACACCTAATAATTTTCCTTAATTTTATGATTTCGAATTATTCATTGTCTGTAAGCATAAATCTAAATTCCATAATCAGCACTCATTTCTACCAGACAATAAAATCGAAAGCAGGCCATATCGTGATCGTTGACTGTGTCTTCTTTAAGAATATTTGTACCCAAAGATAACTGTCATAAAGAAAAATTGATGCATAAGACACCATTCCAATGACACATCGCCAAGGGAGATACCTTGCACAAAGTTTGAGTCAGGACAATGACATCTGTATATTCTGTATTTGATTAATGTGTATCAATGTTTTCAAGGACAATGTATCATTAAATACGTAATTACTAACTCTGTTTAAAGATTATCTTAGAGATAATCTTATCCTAATGTTATCGATCCAAGGTAAACATTGAAAGAAGAGATATTGCTAATTTATTGGAAATTGATTCGGTGGTTTTGATAAGATACTTAGTGAAGGCGACAAAACTTGTTTCAACAAAACTTAAATGCGTGTTTAAACTACTAGTTCAAACAAACTCAAATTGAACTGATAGCAAATTCTGGATGTTTAGACAAATTGTGTTCAGTGTGGTGTCCATTGTCTATCATTACAAAACACATAATCTTGATAATATGTGTACACCAACAAGTGTAGCCCGTTGTTTAGTTCCAATTCAGATTAAGTCTAGGAAAATAAGGTTAACGATACACACATATACACACAAATAAAGTCGGTGATTGGCACAGTATTTAATGAATGCACTTTCTTGTATATATAAAGCAACAATTGGGAACTCTCGAGCTGAAAGAGTATGAGATGTGATTCAGCTTCTTCGAAAATGAGGTCTTCTAACTACAAAAAATTGCCCACGTTAGCAGCGTACTCTATCACAGTATTCGATACTATTGAATTTTCAAAACAGTACTCGGGTTAACAATGAATATATTACATTATACGTGTAAAAATAACGATTTGTTTCAAGGCAAACTGAACACCTGTGCTGTATCAGATAGCGAAATAATGACTACAAAATTTAACATTACATTCCTATGTTCATACTTTTAATAAACTATGTCCAACGACTAGAATAATATTCCTTGATAGATCACTAAAGATCCATAATGGAAGTGTCCGCATTATTTCTAGAATTTGCAGTCACTATACAATTTTAGTCACAGTATCCCACGTTAACAGAAGATTATCACTCTACTGTTATATTGACCAACAATGGCGGACACATCCATTGACTCCTGACTCATACTAGAAATGAAACTAGAAAATTACCAACAGTGGCAAATAATTAATTTAATTGCTACCTTCATGGTCACATCAAACCCCTTTAGATTTATGGCTGGACATTGACACGGAATTGTAAAGTAGCACCATATGCAAATGTGCAAGTTCAAAAGAGTTGACCTAGCACACGCCATCTGGGCTAACGTATGCGGGACTATTCTCGTCTGGTCTCAATGTTAAACGTTTACTCTGGACATCTGCCGCTGGTATCTGATATCACTATATCACCATAGCGGACATTTAAACTAACAATGGTCGTTTGGCGAGTTTGAAGTGTTAAACTATCGATTTGAAACCAAATATCTGCCATCACTGAAAAGAGTTCTTAGTAAGAAACGAACAAATTAGCATAAGCGAAAATGGCACAATGTAGCACAACATTTACATGTAGCTTTAATTTTTATTCAAGCCCAACGATACATAAAGATTACGCCCATTTCCGCAGTCTTCTAGTGAAACCTCTCTGCAGTTTTAATCAGGACAAAACTCTATTGAACGTAACACTATAGTTTCAACTGAATACATGGCTACGACTTCTCGACTTTTACTTATAATACATCCTTAGCAGTAGCTAGATTTTAAAAATCCATGTTGATTTATACAGTCCATAATAGTTTTATAGTCTCCCTTTAATCGACAAAACCTCCCGTCAAACAATATTTTGTTCAAAAAGTAAAATAGGTTCAAGTAAGGGGCGTCATTTAATCGTTTGCTTATCAAGCGACGGTTATCTTTTAAAATTAGCACAATCTAATGACAGACAAGATAAGGAAGCAAGCAAGTGAACTTCAAATTAATAAAATATCTAACGCATGATACGCCCCCAACGAATAAGACAAAATGACAGACAGTTTTGTCAAGGTAGTCAGTGACCTTAACTTATCCTCGACATATTTACAGAGAAAGTTTGCATTCAGTAAGCCGGGATGCCACGTGGTCACCGAAGCGAGTTATTTAAAAACGCCCCATAGAAAATACAGGTAACTGTCGCCATATTTTAAAGATTCATTTCGCTAACCTCATGTGTCGCGTCTCTCTTCTCTCCGTATAATTTGCTGTACGTTGCAAATTATTTTTAAAAAATTGGACTATATTTTTTAGAATACTTAGTTTTATTGTAAATACATAATCTCACCTGCTGATAGCCGTTTCGTGTCCTACTTTTCCTTCCGTTATATCGGGACGTGTTAGAAAAGAGGTCATGACCCTTGCAAATTACGGTCAGATTGGACCAATCAGCGTTACGCAGGGAGGTCAAAGGGACGTAACTCTTATTTAGTCTAAAGAGATGGAAAAAGTCAATAGAAACATTTCCTGTGTTAGAAAAGTTTAATTGAACAATAACGGCACATAGTAGTCAAATATAATGGAGACACAAAAATAACGTTTATGGCTGTATCTTTTTAAAAGTCGAGTTTGGTTAACTTTAAAATAAACGATACAGGCGCATATT